ATAATTAATTACTAAAACTTTATTTATTTTATAATTTATAAACATAGTTTTAAAAAAGCTATTTATAATTACGATATTATTTATTTAATACTCGTAGCTTTAATTTTTATTAATATACTTATTATAACTAGCTAGCCGTAATATATAATTAATAATTTAATAATTCGACTATTAGTAAAGATATATTTAATTATAAATATCTAAGTACGCGAACTAAGCTCTTTTTTTATATTATTATAGTTTTTATTATATTTAAAACTAAGTTATTAAATCCCTTACTTTTTAAAATATTAGTTTTATTTATATTATACTTATTAGCCTATTTAATATTACTAATTTCTAATATATTAAGTAATTTAAATTATAACTTAATTATATTAGTAATAGCTCTATTTAAATATTTTAAATCGATAATACGACTTCTCTAGACTTCAATTAATAAGTTCTTTTTTAAAAAAGCGTCTATTTATCTTTTTTTCAGAGGATTTATATTCCCTTAAGATTTTAAAACTTGCTTAGTAAATTCTTTAAACTATTTATAAGTTAATATAATATTTAAATTATATTAAATATAAACTTATTAAACTAGCTAATTTTCTTATTATAAAAAAAGCCTTTAGAGGTTTATAAATACTATTATTTTTATTTAATAACCTCTTTTATAATTATAAAAAATTAATTTTAAAATTCCGAACTTAATTGAGGCCTAATTAATTAAAAAACCTCTTTTAATAACTTTAAAAACCTAAATAACTTTATTTTTAATATATAAAACTATTATATATTAATAAATAAGTATATAAAAAAGAATTATATTTAAACGATTTTTATAATTATTATAGTAGTTTAAAAATCGTAAGTAGGGTTTTAATACAGTAGCTAGGATAGAGAAATGGGGTGGCTAAAAGGGGGGGGTGGCCAAAAGGGGGTAGGTCGACTTAATACATTAGGCATGATCGACCTTGGCTACCCATTGAGGTCTAGAAACACTCGAGCGAGCGTAGTTGGCCTTGGTTGTTTGGTACCATTGTTCATTTGAGGACACCCATCATCGACTACAATCGGAATAAGAAACAAACTATAGTCTCAAACACTAGTTTCTTTGGGTTTAAACCGCCGTTAATTGAGAGGACTTTTGTCTTTGACCTGATTCGATTTGATGCATGTCACGAGGAAACATTTACGAAATAGTCTAAGGCACAGGTAGACAGCAGCTGAGAGGTCACATGCAGATTCCATCTATGCCAATGATACCTTTTGACATGCCTCGACGCTGTGCGATTGTTTTGACAACAGAAATGCCAACAGAATTCGATGAAGGCCTGAATCAAACAAAATGACATGGACAAGAACAGGGTGGGGAATGCCCAGATATGCTCCCCATTATCGCGTGGCCGGGCCGAGAGCATCGCCAGGCACAGATGAGATGATGAGATCACCCTTGACCGTTGCCAATGGTGTGAATTGCGACACTGACACGGCACTTGTTTGCCGCGGGACCAGGGACCTTTGCCTACCGGTCTAACCTATCTTCAGCAGGTGTTATTCCCATGTGCCCCCGCAACCCGGAACTAGAGCGAAAAAAAAGTTCTTATGCTGACCAAAGGTCCCAACGGTCTACAGACCAACGGGCCAACGGTAACGGTAGGATATCACCCCTAATTTGATAGATAAGGCGAGCGCTGCCGATCTTTGTCTTTTCGTGCTAATAACAAGGTAGCTTCCCGTCTCGCAGCTCGTAACCCCCCATCCGTCGCGCGTAAACCCCTCTACCTTTTTTGAACTTTGGGCATAGGAATTGTCAGACTCTTCGAGTCTTAGTCAGGTGGGTGACTAAGACTGACTCGAGCTCGTAAGTCGAGTCTCTAAGAGGCCCTACAGTTTCTTAGACTCGACTCAGACCCGGAGTAACGGACTTCGAAATTCATCTTTAGTCAACGACTTTCCAACTTCGGTCGCGTCCAATATCGGTAGGAAAACGAGTGAGGCACTGCTCCCCGACCTACCGCCGCTCGGGTGCAGATATGCAGGCCAAGAGTTGCGGCAACTGGGGTCGCGCCCCAGTCTTGTGGTAACCTCGTACATGCGACCTGCCATCTTGAGCTAGCTCCTCCTGTGATGAGAGCAATACAAGCTCATGCGATTGGGATGAACGCCCACTCGACATCCGATGGTGACATCGACAGTCTCCAGAAAACGAAAACGGGTTGCCCCTCGGGTCGTTTGTCGTTGAGAAGTGGATGACGACTACAATGGGGGACTCCTTCGACTGCCAGACCCGAGTGGTATAAGAGACGCGCCGCCGCAGTCTGCGGGCGGTCGGGGATGCGTCTGTCGAGCTTGAGACTGCAGCCCAGCTTTCGACTCGATAGCCAAAAGTTGTGTCGTGTTACTCTCGTTCAATAGGCAAGATGCGCAGCTCCTCGATTGCCGTGCCGGCTTTGCTGGCCAGCGCAGCTGATCTCGCTGTCGCGCAGTTCCCCAACTCGACGGTCCCCGGCAACAGCTCTGAGCCTTGTGCTGCCGTGAGCGCTGCTTGGGCTTCGCAGCATGCGCGTGCTCCTACAGGTACTTGGAATCCCGACAATGAGATGTCCCGTTGACGTAGACTGACAATGGTGATGCTGTAGTTGTCCCGACTGTACCGGCTCAGTTGGCCTACGACTGCCTCAACTCCGTCCCTCTCGGAAAGGAGGCAGCCATTGAGCTTGTGGACTCTCTGTTCCCATACCTCGAGTGGCAGAGTGGTAAGTCCACACCGAATGATTTTGTTGAAATCTCTGAACCCTGAACTAACCTGGCTCTAGACGCTGCTTACAAGGCAGATCCCCCACCAGAGTACGACTTCCCGGCCTACGACCTCTTCGCAGCCGCCTCGAGCATCAGACAGAACTTGGTCGACGATGTTTACACCAGCGAATACGCCTTCCAGTCTGCTCTCTACGAGGAAGTGTTCGGTCCTGGTCACGACGGCCACTTCGTGTACTACCCCGACTTGCTCACGGCGGTGTTTGAGTGGACCCGTCAGCGGGGCTTGGTCTCCATTAGCGAGGATGGATCATCTCTGCCAGTGATCAAGATCTACGGTACGTTCTGACTCGACGATGGTGAATCTATGAAGGTTATTCTAACTCTTCTCTAGAGGAGGTCATCTCTACGCCCGAGACTGCGTCCGCAGTCAAGCTCATCAACGGCATCGAGGCTTCCAAGTTTCTCGAGGACACCGTCAACAAGGCCAACTGGAACCGTGATGCTAACTCCGCCTACAACTCCATGTTCTTTGAGAAGTCTGGACAGGCCACCGGAATTGGCAACGGCTACTTCAGCTCTGGCGGTCGTGTCAGGTATGTTGGATGAGTCAATAATGAGTTAGTGAAACGTACTAACATGGTTAATAGATACATCTACCAAGGCGCCAACACGACTCTTACTTTTGAGAACGGCACCGAGGTCACCTTTGAGAACCATGCACGGGTTAAGAAGGATCTCACCGGCATTGTAGACGGCCCCTCCTTTTACGCCAAGTTCTGCAACCCTCTCAGCCCGGCCTCCGGCACCCCGTCCGGCACCTCCCCTTCCAATGCCTCCACCCCTATCCTTCCAGGCTACCCTGAACCCGTCGTCACCACCAGCGACGGCGTTGTGTCCGGCTACTACCTCGAGGGCGAAGGTTTCGAGGACGTTGCCGTCATTGTCCTGACCGCCTTCGAGAACGAGAGCCCTGCCGAGTTCCAAAAGGTCGCCCAGGATTTCTACACCGCCGCCCTCTCCGCCGGCAAGACCAAGCTCGTCATCGACTTCCAGCAGAACGGCGGCGGCTACATCCTCCAGGGTTATGACTTCTTCCGCCAGCTGTTCCCCGAGACAGACCAAGATGGCTTCTCCCGCTGGAAGGAGAGCGACGGCTTCGTTGCCGCGGCCCAGATTGTCTCCGACATTGTGGCTGATGTGGACATCTACACCAGCGATGATGAGAACCTGATTTCCCTGGCTGAGAGCTGGTTCAACTGGCGCTACGACTACAACCTCACCAACCAGCCCTTCACCTCCTACGAGGACAAGTTCGCGCCCCAGGTTTTCCAGAACACCTCCTACACGGACCTCATGCGCTGGAACCTCAACGATCCGCTGACTACCACCAACGCCACCTTTGGTCTTGGTATCGAAATCCACGGGTACGGCAACCTCACCGGCCTTCCCCAACCCTTCGCCGCTGAGAACATTATCATCCTCTACGACGGTGTCTGCGCTTCTACCTGCACCCTGGCCTCCGAGTTCCTCCGCCTCCACGGCGGCGTCAAGTCCGTCGCTTTCGGCGGTCTCCCTGTTGAGGGACCCATTGAGGGTGTCGGCGGCATCAAGGGCTCTCAGGTCCTCGACTGGAGCAACATCTACGGCTACACCGAGTTCCTCCTTCCCTACGCCTCCACTGACGAACAAAAGGCCGCTTTTGCTCGCTACACCGACCTGCCCTTGAACCGCAGTCTCGCGGCTGCCGTCAACGTCCGCGATCAGATCCTGAGGGACAACGTGGATGATGGTATCCCTGCGCAGTACGTCCGCGAGGAGGCTGACTGCCGTCTTTACTGGACTCTGCCCATGATCAAGGATGTCACCGAGATCTGGAAGGCTACTGCGAACGCTGCGTTCAACGGTGGAAAGTGTGCTTACGGAGGTATTGTTAAGCGCGATGTTTCTGCCAAGGCGGCTGTCAAGCGCAGCGAGTACTTGGCTGCTTCGAGCCTCAAGGAGAGGGCTGCTCCTGTTCGTCGTGATGAACCTGTTGCCAATGATCGCTTCTGGCAAGACAAGTACGTGCTGAAGGCTATTGACTAACGTACTTGGTGCATGCGATTTGTACTGTAAAAGAGATCTTAAAATGAACAATTCCAGGAAAAAAGCTCTACATCCGTATGTTATGTGTATCGAGGTTTCGGAACAGGTTAAACGAATGACAATCCTCATTATTGGCCGTACAAGTCCATAATCATTCACTCTTCTTATCTGAAGAAAGGTACGAACCACCATCTTTGTCCCTTGAGTTCGGTGGACATTCCCGTCGCTTCTGGAGGGAAAGCTTCTCTTAAGTCGGAAACCTCCTTCTCTGTAAAGATTTTATAATCCTCAATGGCTTCGATTGTTTCCCGACTCGTCGGCACCCAGACATGGCTATCAGCTTCAGCTCCATCTTCGATATCGCTGCGCCTCAGGACTGCACCGCATTCTATCATTAGTTTGCAGGCTTCGAATGCATTTTGCGGGCGTCCAAATGCAGAAATATTCTGCAGTCTATCAAGAAATGTTCTAAATTCAACGATCAGTTCAAACTGCTCGTTGGGAAGTTCGAGGCGGGAAAGAAGCTCGCGGAGAAGCGACAAATCTACGAAATCCGTCGAGATCATTTCTGGGGGGTCGCCGGCCTCCACATATATTGCACCTGCCAGGACACTTCTCACCGCAGCAAAGAGATGCTTTCTGTGCGGCAATCTCTGCGTAGGTGTTGATAGAGTAGCTTGTACCGCAACAGTTGTTCTTGCCCAGATCTGGCATGCTAGGCGGAAAGAATCCAAAGCACCTGGACTGTCGAGGCTTGTCCGCAAGTCGTCCATCATTTTTTTACAAACATTGAGAAGCCCCGGGCCTGAGGCTAGGACGTCTTGACTCTCCGCTTGCTCAATCGTGTGTAAAGACCTGACTAGAAAACCTACGCCAATGCCAACATTGCTTTTGTCCTCTTGCACTTGTACTCGCAATGACGGACCGGACTCTGCGAATGACTTAGCAAGCCAATAACGTTGGTGTTTGAGTGGAATCTGTAGCTGAAAAATGTTGGAACGCTGCAGAAATTCTACCACTGTTCGGTGGAGAAATCCAATTCTCAGATTCGATGGCGCCGGCGCATCCACCTCCCAGCTTTGGACCAAGTCGCAACACTGAGCCAAGATTTGATCTCTCTTCCTTGGCACATTGTAATCAGCCTGCAGAAGAGACATTTGCATCTTTAATGATAATGGTGGGTCAGAACCCCGATTAATCGGCTTTTGATGTTGATATTGACGGTAGAGAGCTTCTTCAGCATCCGGTTGGATTTCGACCGATCCGGTAGAAATGCTGCCCCAATTACTCGTCCAAGACGTGCTTCTTGTATTCAATGATCTGAACAACTTTGTAGATTTAGAGCCGCTCATGTTTTCAAAGTAACTATCCATGGTCAAGAAGCAAACAACCGGAACAGGCATGTCTGCAATCAATAGCATGGAAAAGATTCTAGATGCGGTTTCCCTATAGACGTCTTCGATAGAATCAAGCATCCGCTGGAAGAATTCGTCGAGATCGGAAGGAAAGTCTGCAACTCTCTTTTGTAATATTGTTAGGTCGTCCCAGTTGTCTAAGCCGCGTGTGAGAGACTTGACAACCAGAGCAACCCAAAAGAAAACGCCTTCTGACTTCAGCGAGATAATCTCGATCAGATTCGTAGCCTCCGTTGGATGTATTCTCAGTAAACTTTGATAATGATCATGCTGTCTCAGGACGTCGCGCACGTAGATTGCCATATCTTGAGCTGTCAGCTGGTCCATCCTGATGCGGGTAAGGGAGTTGCCGTAAGCATCTTCAAATGTCCGCCATGGCCGGCTTGCACAGCAAATCTTTATGCCAGAAGTATGAGCCATGTTGTCGAGAAACTTGAGTAAGTCCTTGTGGTCGCCCTTGTACTCATCAAGCCCGTCTATGAACATCAGGATGCGCTTCGTAGGTAACGAGGCGCCCCTGAGACGTTCAAAAGCACCAAGTAACTCCTCGATTGTCCAAGATTCAAGCGTGTGTGTCAGACTGGCGTACCTCTCCGGGAAGGCATCGGGTATGAGTTCCGGGCATTTCACCATGATCTGGAACAGCAGCGCTCTGAGAAGACCTTCTTGGGAGCTTTGAAGGCCATTTCTGATACCCCAAAAGAAGTGGCTGGCAATGACAAGTTGATGCGGGCCCGCCCAAATGTTTGCTAGCTGCGACGTCTTTTCGTGCCCAGTTACGAACTTCATCAGTGTCGATTTCCCAGAACCCGGTTTTCCAGTAATCCAGAATATGCCGTTGGGGCTTTGGAGCCAGGAAGAGAAATTGACGTTGGTGGATTCTTGAAAAATCCATTCAAACGTGTTTTGGTGGGCTATGGGGATCTCGGTTTGTCGTTCAATTATCTGTGCAAATCGCAGGCTTTTGAGAATTTGCAGAATGTTGCCCTGATGTTTCACGTCCTCTACGAAGCGGGAAAGCATCGAAGAAAATACTTCCAACTCTATCGTAGACGAGGCCTCATCTTCGGACTTCAGAAGTTTGCCGATGTCCTTAGACATTCGGTCCAGCCTAGCATTGGTGGCACAATTCCAAGCTGCTGAAGCATCACCCAGAGACCGTACATGGTCAGATACCGCGGAACGATGCTGGCTAGAGGACTGTTTCAGCTTTGCGATGGTTTCGAAGAGTGAAAACTAACAAGAGAAGTGTTTGAAGTCCCTCGAAGATTGCAGCTTTGATTTCCCGGAGTCTCTTTTGAATGTCGATAATACTGCTTTCCTTAAAATATGCTCTGACGGAGAGCTTGGCCTTTGTGAACCTCGGGTACTTGCCATCGATAGCAGTTGTTAGACCATCCGCCGCATCAACAAGTTCTTTTGAAGTTTTTATGCAACGCTGCAGAAGGCTATTCATGCCGGCATCCATCTTGACGTTGACATCTGTCTGCAGCCGAACACAGCGGCGTTGCAAATCTTCGGCCATGGTTTTCAGTTCAACTAATCGCGGTATCAAACCATCATCTGTGATACTGCGATACGTACTGACGATGGAGAACGATACTTTGAGCCCGAGCTCGAGAAATTGGACAATGTTGGCTGCAACGCCGAGTGCTGCTAATTCGGCCATGATGAGAGCGACTCATGGGCGGATGATTGCTCTTCGTCTTGAGATTTCCAGTGACCCCGCTTTCGTACGGGTGATGAAGCTGAGAAGATCCCAACACAAGAGGCTGCCTGGACTGACCGATAGGTCAGGCTATCAGCTGCCTGATCTTGGCAATGGCCACGCACGCTGACAGCCACCGCCACATTCCCGTGAATTCTGCAGGCGGATGTAAGCCCACCAAAGTAGTGCATCTTCTTGTGCAACACAGGCTTGAGCAGGCGAACCGCATGACGTCTACGCCAAGTCATGTGAAACGATACTCATCGTCAAGGACGCTGGTTGGTTGAAGAAGGAAAACCAAGGAGCCTATTTATGTGCGCGCGTCTAAGTGAAGGGCTGGCAATCTTGGAGTACAGAGGAACATGGCGAGCATGACCACCAGAGACATTCCTTACCCTCGGGCTCATCAACACGTTACATCTTGTATAGACGCATTAAATTGAAACTAGCCAGATGTTGTTAGAATAGCATCGTTGGAGGTCGAGGAGTATATGCACACGTTAGCTTGTATAGCGCCGCCCTTCATTCGAGAGTAACCTAAGAAGTGTCTAGTAGAGTCGGGCAGGCACCTGATCAGGTACCTACCCAAGTTCCAGTTCAGAATTGCAAATTGCTGGCATCAAGATATTGCTGGAGAATGTTCCTGGGACAGGACGCAGGTTGAGGTATCAAGCAGTGAAGCATTGTGAAGTCGGATGTCTTAGTAGCTCATTAATGAAATGATAAGATGGGTATCGCACGCATCACTGGCTCCTCAAAAACATCGCCGCGGCCCTGGTTTCCAGCACCTGCCCTTAGTCCAGCCTCTTCCACCATAGCTCTCCGCGATTGCCGCCGTCTCGTTGGGAAGAGATGCGCAGAATCTTTCCATCCTCATAGAGTGTGTAGTTGCGCGCTTGGCTGCCTCCGGCCATGGATGGGACATTGGCGACGGTCAAGGGTCCGTGGATGACTTGGCCGAAGGTTGCGTTCGCGGGGAATGCGTCGCTGATTCTGAGCGGCCCGGCATAACCGATGCTGTGCTTGCCAACAAGGGCCCAATCGGCGTCTGACTGTGAATCTTCGAAGGGAAATGTTAGGTTTGCGGGTCGGTCTTCGGGGTCTGTTGATGTGATCGTTGCCGACATGAAGCCGGACTTGCTGTAGGAGAGGATGCCGACGGGGTTGGAACCGTATGTTCTGTCTGGCACAGCTACTCCATCACGTGTGCTACACAAGTCAAGTGTTAGATTTTGATCAATCCTGTAGTTTGAACCAGTACATTCGAAGTCAACTTACGCTGAGGTGTTGAGAAGCTGGTATGTTCCCGCCAATATGGCGAGGATCTCCGTAGGCTGCATTTTGACGTGTAAATAAGGTAGTTTCTTCAAGGGCGATCGAATGAACTAGCTCAAACGGCCTCGGTAGTTATTTGAGAGAACGAAGGAAAAGGGTCTTTAAGTGATCAACTGCCATCGGAAGGAACACCGTCCGTCTACAGCTTAAAGGGCTCGCCCAAATCCAAACATGTCCGCCTCTGCACGTCCATCCGCGCGGGTTTGCCCCGAAAGGGTGTGCTTCAAGCGGTTACGTGATAGGTCACGACATCTCAAAAAGCCGTTTCTTCGGAGGCTTGAAGCAAGGGTCTCCAAGCAACTTTAATCAACCTGCTCAGGCACGCAGTCTTCATGCCATGGATTTGGAAGTAGATCGCGTGCCAAGCAATTAAACTTACGGGAATTCCCTGGGGTGCCCCCTCTACCCAAAGGTCCAGAGGCTGTGGGAGCGCTGAAAGCACCTTCCTTCGCTATCGCCATGGGTGCTAAGCGAGCAGCGGGACTGACTCGCAGATTGATGAAAAGGGTCTTTTCGCCGAGATGATGGCGAGGAAAGGGGTGGCGCGCGGCTTGAGATTGCTGTTCCGAGTTTTTACGATGGAAAAACGACGCAAGAAACGCTTCGTTTCGTCCAAAGTTCCTTCTTTCTTGGCCTTTGAAGGCTGTGTTAACTTTGAAGAACGGATTAACAGGGAGAAGTTGGGGAAATCGAACCAAAGAGCTGGAGATTTGGCTTGGCCTAGCTTGGCAACTTGGCGTAATGGAACTGTCACCGGGCGATTGTGGGGGACGTCGTGCGGGGTACTTCTTTAGTTGCATTCTTATTTCGAAGAAAAGATGAAGGCCTTAATTACTTATTACTGAACCCGACCACTCCGGAGAAGAAGCTCGAAGGTGGCCTAAGAAGGTTATGAGCCCCGAAAGCTACCCGGTCTCGGTGGAACGGATGAACCGGAAGGCGACCTGCCAAGTTTAGCAACGTACCCCTGGAGAACATGTCACGAGAATGTTAATTCCTCGCCTATCCCGTGAGGGGTCACACAAAGTGGAGGGGGGTGCACTACTTATTTTGTTACGATATTGATGAAAGACGACTCAGCTGAGCACATCAGCAAGCACATAAAGCTGAGAATTTGCCGATGGGTATATCTAATCTGGGAAAGACCAGAGGGGCTGGACCATCTTTCTAGTACTCGCACTCAAAGCACGTGACAAATGCGTGCAGTCGAAGTTCCCAGGGCTATCATACCTGAAGTACGGGGAACACCGCAGGAAGTTAACCCAAGTTCTGGGTGTCGATATTGGGCTGACGTTTGGTAACGTGTTAAGGATCAACTTCGCAGTTCTGAGGGCAACGATACACCTTAGATCTAGCTGACTTCATATCGCGCAACAACCTTACATATTGCCGCCGAATCAACATTCAAGTAGGGCTTGTATTGGGTCCAGGAATTTCATCGCATCTTAAATCCCAGCAGTACTTGGCTTCTTGTCTGATATGCCCACTCTCAAAATCACCTTTTGCGAGAAAGCTATCGCTGCAAGGCTTTGAGATGGTGACCCATGTAATACGGGAAAAGGACGGCGGAAAGTTAATGACTTGAGGACCACTTGAAAAACCAAGTATGGTCAAGGAAGCAAGGTGTGCGGGAATTCAAGACTCTCAGCATACATGTTGCGGCTCCTTGCGCGCATGGCAGAGCCCAAAATTCCAATCCCGAATGCGCATCATGACGGTAAGAGGGACAATGACATGAAGTCGCAGGACCACCTTGATGGATCTCACACTCAGATCCTCTGAAGATCAAAAGGCTTGGATGACGGATAGCGCCTATGGTTTTGCTACGTTAGATCGTTGCTAGTCGCAGCGATCAATTCCGCACCGTATCTAGTCTCACAATGATTGGATAGTAGGGCACGCCCAGCGGCTATTTACATCAGAGACTTATACACAGCCGAAGACTCAACTTGGCAGTCAGATTTTAGAGTAAAGCTCTTCTAGAATGAGACAACGTCGTCGATTCTGCTCAAGTAAAACTCCGAACGTAGTTAGGCCCGGGCGGGTAGTGTCAATTTGAGGTGCTGATCTTGAGATCAGCTTCGCATAATATTAGCGTCCCGGAACCCTCAAACAATTTTTCATCTTTCCATTTTCAAATGATAAATCGTTTATTCCGAAAAATAACACGACTTTCCAAGCGTTTTCAACTCACCCAGCCGATATCAATTCGCCAACATTAGACACAATGCCGTCCCCTCGGCTATTTGCAGCCGTCGGTGCAGCTTTGCTCGTTGCTTCCTTCGGGCTTCTTCTTACCACTTGCATATCTGTCCCCAACACAAGTTTGTCAATCTTCACATTAGAGGCGACCAGACGTGGAGCAGGTGGGTCAATTGGACCATCTATTGTTCTTGACTTCGGGCTTTGGGGTTGGTGTCAAGCAACGGCTGCCACATGGTAAGTCACGAGCGTGACACCCCACCTTGTGATAGTTCAGTATGATAAGATTTATACGAACTATCTGAGAGAAGATCGCAGTACTCACACATCATGTTCTATCTAGGCCAAGATACCCACAGGGATGTCTTAGAGTCGGAGGCTCGGCGGGCTATGATCCAGCCGCCATTATCCGTCCCATGATCATCGGGTTTCCCTCCTCGATAGAAAGCAGAGGAATGCGCGACTTGACACTAGGATTCCCATTGCCTGCTGTTGCCACTGCTACATCTGGACTGGGTCTTCTTTCTGCACTTGCCAGCCTTGTCAAACTCAACCGTCTCACAACCTTGGCCAGCGCGATTCTTGCGATTTTATCATTCATATTCGCCATATCGGCGCTTGGCTGCATTTTCTCACTGTTCGAGGAAATAAGAAAAGAGTTGCCGAGAAGTACAGATTTGCGGTTGGCTACGAACGTACGAAACTTGCACGATATCTCAACGAAATACGGGGCTTGTTCTTGGACTTTAGTTGCTGCTTGTGCCATGTTATTGCTGAGCGCAGCAGTTTTCATGTTTGCGTGGCTAGCTGAAGTGCGACAGACCCGACAGAAAGTCAGTGATGATAGCAGAGAAAAAGCCAGCTACTCGCCATCAGAGGGCAGATCATCGGGGGTGGGATCTTGAATGTTCGCGATATGCGAGAAAAAGGCGTCGCTGTCAGATTAGATGTCTCCTCGGCCCGTAAATCAGCTGGGCCGCAGGTGCTACATATATTTCTAGATACATCCAAATCCCCCATTATTTTCGCAGCATTTCGAAAATTGTCTTAATTCTCGAGGGTTCCGATAATTCAGGGGACATGTTGTGCCGTTCCACTGGCCTCCCGCAAGATAACAGCACTCGTAGCTAGCAACGTGATCTGCATGAACAGGATTCCATTTATTGACAATAAAAACACAATTGCAAGGAAATATGTCTTGCTCTCGTATTGGGACGTCAGTGGCCACGGACAACCTGATTCCAGCAAGGATGGCCATCATGAAGGAGATTGGCATCATCTTGACCTAAGGTAGAATTGATAAGTGCTGGCTTGTGGTAAGATTTCGAATAAATTGTACCGTACCACCGGTTTGAAATGATATGATATGCAGTGAATCTAATGGATGACAGGTGGATTTGATCGGTGATCGCAGGAAGATGTAAGAGGAGGCCACACAGGGTGGGTCGGTGATGGATGGCAAGTCTCTTAAGTGAGGTCGTTGATGGCAACTCCATGTTTAAACGTCGGAGAGGAAAGAAAGTACCGAAAATTTATAGGATAATTTTGATGCTCATAGGTAGCCAGCCAGGTTACGTCGGGGCCTGCCTTAATGTCCATACATGTAGGCAGCACAAGGTACTTCTGTTCAAATTGGGTTCAAAGCCTGTTCGGTCTTCCATACCTTTACCTTAACAATAGCATGAGAACACCGTTTCTTCTGCTTAGGCCGATTGCACGAGTCTTTAAGCGTATGTTGTTTCATTCTGTGTTCCTAGCACGCTGTTGATCGTTGCGCCTGCGCTGATGCATCCCGTTCCGATATACTTATACGACAAGGCGGTGACACCATTGCTTGAACTTTTTGGCATGTATTTCATGACTCTACCTTCTGTTCTTTTGAACTGTTAGGTAGCCGGAACTGTCCTGAGAAGCTCGGGTTCTGCACCTAACGGCCTTGCCTGGTATTTCAAGGTCCATGGCGACATGCCAAATACGAGCGGTTCTTCTAGAGTACTAAAGGCTTTATTGACAGATTTTAGTTATTGATGGGCCGTTAGCGATGCTTTTGCAATGTTCTGAGTAAGGCCATTTAGCAACATGTATTCGTTCAACCTGAACTTATCGAGGGCACAGTTGTGCCATCGCGGGCCTTCTTGCCCTTTCGGTCAATTTAAAGAAGGCCATGATCATGTGTTTCTCAACACACCTACCGCAGAATTGCATTATTATGCAAACTATTCGATGGATTAGATCAATTCCTAGCTGGCTCAGTATTCGAAGACGGTCATTAAGAAGACGAGACAAGGATTGCCCACGTCGAAGCAGAGAATTAGGCATCTAAGATGACATCACAAATTGAGTTCGAATTAGTACAACGCATAACAAGCCGCTGCGTACTGACTAAGCTGTCTACACGTCTGGTCAGACATCAGACGTTTCATCCTCTGGGCTACCGTCGGCAATGGCCTCGGATCTTCGGGGCGACTGTTATTGCGGACTACTTAAAGGCCGAGCTCCCCGGGATCAGAGCTTCGCAGCTTTGACAATCAGCGCATCAGGCTTTCATCCGACTACCATCGTTCTTCAGGACTCAAGCAGAACAAAACCGCCATGTCAACGGTCTTTCATGTCACTGTTCACGTTGCGCCGCAGGATGTCTCGAGATTTCTGCGGGCTGCGGAGCCGACAATTGAAAAGATGAAGAAAGAGTCCGAGCTGATGTATTTCGAGATGTATCAAGTTCATGACTCTCCTGGTACGATTACGTGGATTGAGAAATGGTATGCTTCGCCCAAGCTCATGAATGACGTTGGAGAATGTTTTCTGATGTTCTTCTAGGTCAGAGCCAGTAGACTGGATAATGAAGGTTAGTTGGAGTGGCTTCCCGTGTATGGCCTTTGGCTGATGGGTGTGATGAATCCGCAGCACCAAATGACGAAGGACTATTATAATGACTACTTTGACGCTACGGAACCGTTTTACATTGCACCGCGGGAGCTGAGAATTTTGAGCTCTCTTGGACCTCGTCATACGTATCAGAAGTCGTAAAACAGACTGGGCGCGCCTTGAAGCAATCTGGAAGCGGACTGGAGTTGAATATGGATGTAAAATAGAAGAGCTGAAAATTCATAGTAAGCAACTACCTTAATTACTGTAATTTTCCGCTTCTCGGTCTTGACTTAAACGATTATCAACGTGTTGAGCGATGATGCATATCTTGACAGGGAACGACTCTTCCATTCAATCTTACTAAACTCCTCAAATGACACGTATTTTAGAATTTTACCCTAGCTTCGCTCTTTTAAACAAATGAGAAAAGTCACCCACGCCCTTTTCAAGCCTCTATTCTGCTCTGAACTCGGGTAATAAGCGCCACCGCCGTTGCGCCCAGTTGTTTCTCAGCTTCCAATCCTTACTGTTGGGGGAGGCTTCTGTAAAGATATGTCTGGACTTCTGGCTATAACCCCGTTGCATCATATGCAGATTTAGTGCTCTATTGGCGGATATGTCGAGAAATGTCCATCACAACACTTCAAAGAGTTCTGGCCCGAAGCTGGTGTAGATTTTCAATGACTTTGATAGCCTTGTCTTCACTGGAGAGATCCGCCAGCTTCCATCTTGCGTTTCTGAATAACTTCAGTGCGACCCAGAGGAGTATGAATACAATGACCTAAGGAGTATTAGTTGGAAGCAGACGACATGATACATGTAGAGGAAGTTTGATGGTAATGCCTCACGATTAAATAGGATGATAGGAATGGGAACCAGTGGAACTTCGTCCACAAGGCAGCCCCGTTTGACACGCCTAAGATGACCATGCAGCCAGCAAGTGCAATGTAGCCTAGGAGTGGTTGACCGTGACTGCGATATGGATAATCATCTCCTGGCCCTTTGTTCCACCGCTGAACAAGAGGTATTTTGCGAGCTTCTATGGCCTTCTGATGCCTTTGAATACTATAAGATGTGAGAAATTGCACGTCCATTGCGTTAAGACCCTGCTTACCATCGGTAAAATCGAATAAAGGCGAATGATTGACAAGCCCAGACGATGGCAACGCCAACGGATCCCATCTGAGCCAATATTTCGATGAACTAGATGAGCAGGCGAGGCGTTAGTTTTGTCGAGATGATGTCCTATTTTGATAGCACAAACCTTGCCAATTTTGGTGTCTGTGTTGAACCCGCCACCTTCCTGCAAGAATGGTACCCAGCAGAATGCCAGTGCAGAGACGACCATAGCTCGCATCGGAACTTGGCTCTTGTTGGTTTGGCCTAGCCAAGCCAAGCATCTAACTACAATCCGCTGATCGTATCCACCATCAAGGCTGCTCGTGATTCCGAACAAAGTCCTGGAAGCCACATATAGGTTGGTGTTTGCGCAAGTGATGGCTGTAAAGACTAAAGCAGCATTGACCGCGTGATCGAGTCCATAGATGCCTGACCTTTGAGCCATCAAGACGAATGGAGACGAAGACTTTCTCTCTTTATTTTTACCTGAATCTTGATCTTTGCATGCGTTGTGAACCCAGCTCAATCTGGTTAACTCGCAGTTGTCTCGCTCAAACCCTAGAGTGACTAGTAGCCCGCTGACAACGTACGCTACCGTGACTAGCACAGTGACCCATACTGCGGTGAATTTGAGCGTGTTGGCAATGGAGTTCTGAACCTGTTCATGGTATGAGGGTCTACGCTGGAGCTTGTCTTTTTCTCGCAGGCGTTGACGACGAGGCTTGGACCAATGTGCTTCTAGGGCAGAAGCTGCGACAATCTCAACGCCGACATAAGCAAAAGCTGCGATCGAAGTTGACATCCTGGCTAATATCAGTACAACACAATTTGAAAGTGTCAATATCGCAGTATATTGGCTTACATCAAGGCTGTACCCCAGTCTTTCGCTGCTAGTTCATCATGAGCTTGAGGTGTTTCCCAACCTATCAACGACAGTCAGTTTTGGTGCCGAATTACAGTCGACCCGCGTACCTTTCTTGGCTTCCGATGATATCCCAGCTACTGATTGTTAGCTCAAACCTTCTTGGCCCTACGATACGAAAGGAACGTGCAGCTGTAATCCGTGTGGTCTGGGTCGGCTTTACTTACTTTTCGCATGAATGGCAATCGATATAACGATGATTGTAAACAGGAAAGTTATCTTAATACCACCAGTGATGACTTCCAGCATACCGTATTTCTGGCAATAACCTGATCAGCAATTGTATTGAGAGCCTGAAGGCAGAGACTTTGGGTCGATTGTACCCTACCTTGATGTCTAAAGTATTAAAGCAAACCAGCATGATAGGAACTGTCACATAAACCACGCCTACGAGAAAGCCCTTAATGTTGACTGACCAAAAGTTGATGTATGAGGCTGAAGATGCAATCAGAGCGGCAAATCCAACAGAGTATGTGAACCTGGTGAGCAGTCAATCTTGATGTGTGAAACGTGCAGCGGATGTGATTTCGGCCATCAAAACACGCGAATGCTTACCAGTAAGCGACACCGACAGCTATACCGAGTTCATTGTCCACAAACTCAGCGACATAGACTGACAGCGCACCCGGGATGGGCCAGATGCATAGTAGCTCAGTGATGCATTGCATGACTGCCCATGCTAGTGACCCAACGAGGAAAAAGGACAGGATCACCGCGACTGGGCCTCCGAGCTCGAGAATCTGACCTGTTCTGCCATACAATCCAGTACCGAGAGTTCCATTAATCGTGATCATCTGCTCCGACATCAGTCAGGGTTTCTTACTCAAAGATGTGCTGGAAGGGGGGTTCGAGAATCATACGAATAGTTGTATGCCGTGCAATTCTCGTCTTACGGTCTTGGCCGGCTCTGACCTCACCGTGATGTGCACGTCAACTTCTTCAGTACCTTCAACGAGAGCACTGTTTGCAGGGTCCTCCGCCGTAGGCAATGGAGAGACGCTGCCATCTGTTGGGGTTCCTCCGACTCTGGCTGAGTCTGGAGGCGAAGGGGGCCGCATGGCGCTCCGCAGCCGGATGGGTATCGACAATGGTGGCTAGCTTGGAAACAGAAAAGCTTTCGGATGGAGCGTGGTCCTGGGCTTCCTTTGCAGCGGTCAAATCAGAAATCAGATAGATGGATTACCGCATGCAACGAAGTCATTCGAATAGAATGAAATCACCAGCACGTGTCAGCTCCTGAATGAAGCTTCGAGCTTGGAATCTCAAAGCAAACGTGTGTCGGCAAGGGACACTCTGGCACGTGTCCATAGATGTCAAGGAAAAGAGGAAGAAATAGGGGATTGGCATGTTTGTCGCATTGCCTGCCTGGAGCCTTGGCTCATGACTACTGAAAAAGGCTGGCTGCTTGTGTTACCTGGCTTTGCCACGCGTGTTGGCACCACAGCCACAAGCCCTGCTTTGATATGCAAGACAGCAATATGCCAACGGGGTTGGATAGGCTTCTGCCCTAGGATAGGCCGCACATTGCTTTTTCCTGCACTTTTCTCATCGGATGAGCAAGGTGGCTTGCGAATGTAATTGTTTCATCAGCATCAGGCGTCTGCATCGTTCACCGAACCTGCCGCCCATTCAGGCAAACCATTCATGGTGTACGTACGTGTGCTAGGGAACGGTCTCTCAGAGAGCCCATGAACTCACATCACTTTGGTCATTCGCAATTAAACAGGTGTTACGTGAGTCAGATGGACGCGGGGTCTGGCTCCTGCAGGCAATGTGATGGCGAACGGTCCGCATTATGAATAGTGAGGTAGGTAATACATGGAAATGAGAAGCCACAGTGCGTATGGGAGACACAATCAGGCTGTCAATTAACGCCGAGAAAACAACACAATCTGATCAGTCCCTTGAACAAAAGGGGCTCCCGTTAGATTGGACCAGTTACGGAATTAAGGCGGAGCATTTGGCCAAGACCAACATGCTATCTATGCGACGTAACCGGCAGTGAGCCCTCTTCTGCCGCCCGCAACACGAAGGGCAGCCACGGCAGCGTACTTTGGTGCTGCATTCAAGTGTTGATTGGGTTCCAAGGCAACCAATAACCTCAACGTCTTTGCCTCACTCCCTCCATGGACCATGCCTAGAACTTCACGTTCCTAAAGAGGCAGGTGAATATTTATCGATGCTTTCCATGCGCCTTTCACGACTTATCAAGTACCACTCAATATTAGAAGTAATGAAAACCATCGAGCTCCCTTTTGCCCGAGACTGGCGAGGCATCAGACTGTTGCAGGTATTCTCCTTGAGTCAACTATGGCGCAACTTTGGTTTGCTCCGAATCGATACATAAAAGAAGACGATCTTAGAAGACTTCTGGAAGAGCTTTTCCCCTTGCAGAATGATTATCAAATACAAGTAGGCCACCTTGGTAATGCCACTTATCGCACTCGTTCACATTTACATGTAGCATCGAGGCGACAAATGGTGCTATACAGCCTCGAGAGAACTCACTGACGTAAGCCGTTCATTCCGTTGAGATTTATCTGCACTGCTGATTGGAGCCTGATAGTGGGAGCTGAGGTACAGAATTGCCAGACCGCTGCTTATTCTGAGAAAATTCAAATGCAGTAGCTAACCTAGAATACATGTAGCAAGATCACCAGGAGACGCTAAGAGATTGTTGACGTGGATTATGGATAATGAATCCGAGTCTGTCGAAGATCTGAGGCGGAGGTACGCATGGCGGAGGTGGGCTCTCGAGGCAGATTCTCCCTACGCTCAGCCTTCCGACCGGATGCTAAAAGAGGGGTAGTAGGTAGTCAGCGTGCGGTGTCACAGGCGCATTGCCTTAATAATGTGAACAAACATATCCTCTTCCATCCTTTGATATGACTCAAAACCTTCACTTATGAATTTCCGTCTGTGACATTTCGTGACCTATACACAGTATTCAGGATGGTACCGTTCCTGGAGTGCTACGTGGATGAGGTCGCAGAACCAGTGACACTCATAGATGTGATGAGAGCAGATTCGAATTCTGGCACAAATGATGTTGAGGTGACGCACCGGCGGTTCTCAAACGCGAAGGATATCCAGGAGTACTTCAAGAACCCGGAGAGCGACAATTTCAGAGATCGTTACATGTTTGCACAATTTATTTCCTAGCTTTCTTGCTGCCTTGATACTGATAACTCCCAGATCCATTTGCCAGGGACACTCATGGGACCCCCTTGAGATCACAGCCTCGATGCTAGAGTCCCTAACTGAAGCATGCGGACTAGGCACCCTAGTTTTGGATTTGACGACTAGTTTCTATCGGCGGGTTCGAGAGATCGAAGAGACGTTCTGCATCCCGTTGACAGAGTGTACAGATGGTTCATTGACTGGTAAGATGCTTTACTTAGAGAGAGTCTCAGAAGAAAGTTCAATCCTAACCCATCCCAGTAATATCCTACACCATGCGATATCCGGAGTTGAAACCGATACAAAATGACTGGGTGATGCGACAAAGCGGCATTTATCACAAGTTAGATGCCACGAAATCCCAGAACACATATGTCCTTCTGAGCCCGTCGCCCGATTCGAAATTGAAGAAGCAGGCAGAGCATGACCTTTTCAACTGTTACCAAACCATCGAAAATAATCCATTCTGGCTGCACATAATGTTTCAAGAGCTCTGCTTGCCAAACTGGAGATCTTATAATGCGAGTCTCGAGCGCAAGTTTCTTCCAATGGTGAGTTGAGAGCCGAGGCTTCAAACTACGGAAGAGTATTGAAATTCACTCTTTGTCAGGCAGACACTGCGGCTCATACCTTCATTGACGAGCTTACCGAATCACAATACAGCCATCTCACCGACCTTGCTGACCTTGAGAATCGGTTCCTGCAGACTTCGATCATTCTCACTGCATCACAGGATGTAATCGATTGCCTCACTACCATCTGTGCTGATCTGAGAGATCTGAGCATGTCTTGCGAAAAACAAGTTCAGATATTGAAGCGTCGATTCCAGCACGGCCAGCGCATGTGCGCCGCCAACCACAGGACGGCGACGTATCTGCATCAACGTTCCAGAACCACTGCACAACTTTTGGCAAATGCGCTATCGTTCCGCGAACAGCTAGAGTCCAGAGCTCAAAACAATAACATGCTGTCGCTCAACAGGTCGGCCGTATTTATCACAACTCTCACGTTGTTATACTTGCCGCCTTCTTTCATCGCCGTAAGTGAAAATACCGGAGGAAGTGCCAGTATTCTATGAACCTCGTTGACTTGTGGTGAACAGACGTTTTTTGGAATGAACTTCTTCGATCTAGACACGGACACAGGTCGAATTGTTGGAAGCTCAATGATATGGATCTTCGTCCTTAGCTCAGGCATTTTGACAGCGATCACATTCACAGTCTACCGCTTGCTTCTTGGCGGAAATATGGATGCTCGAGTTACCGAAACGGCCAGACGATTACATACATGGGGGAAGCATCAAATCCAGCATTTAGGTCGGAAACGAGGTCTGCACGGGGAGAAGATGCCGCATGCCAGTGTTTGATTTGTGAGATAGTATCCGTACAACGGCTGAGAATGTGATAGTAGGATCTCATGCGAGACATGAATTAACGTGGCAACAAAATCTTATATACAGCACTCCTTTCGAGAGAAACTAGAGCTGTGACAAGCACAACTTTTTCCCCGGTTTCTTCCTTATCGAGCACTTTCAACATGGCTTCGTCCGAATCTGATAGTCCACCGAGTTCTACAATCTTATGGACAGAAGGTTGAACGTGGAAACCCGTCCGCGTAATACGCAGCAGAGATATTCTATGGTCTGCTGGCTGCCGACCCAAGGCTATAAAGGTCTCATCTGTTCTGTCGACGATGATTTTGAGCAGTCTATACCTATCGATGATATTCGGCACTGAATCCTTAGCAGTACCTACCGGCCCAGAGAAGCTAATCTCATACATTTGCTTCTCGTGAGCAATAACGACCACACCGGACTTGTTGTGAAAGTGAGCACTTGTCGTGAACAGACTGGAGGTGTTACCACTGGGTCCCTGTCTACGTCGTCAGCGAACATCCATAATGGTATCCGTCAATCTAACACTGCTGACCTCAGGCCTGAATGTAAAGCTTCCAAATCTAGGCTGATCAACACTTCCAGCCCCAAAATGGGTTATTGAAACACTCTTGATTGATACCGTGTGACTTTGATTTCTCGGACGAATAACAATGTACCCTTCTGATGGATTCTTCATACACAAATGAAGGATTTCAGAAACGGGCCATTTGAGAGAAACCCTTTTTTCATCTGCGAGAAATGCATCTTCATTTTCGGGTTCATGTCTACGAGTATGTTACTGATAAATATGGCTTCATCGAAAACTACTAAAATATTGACTAACCTCGTCTCTGAGCTCAATAGCAATGGTTGCCTGACACGAGCTCTGAATAGAATGCTCCGACTGCTATCATTGTTGTCTTCTGTGATCCAAAAGAGCATGTTACTAGATCCAACGAGGGCGAGCTTGTGGGCCACGTTCGAAAGATTAAGGATGTTAGGGGATTCCTCCAAACTGGCAGACGCAGCTTGGCCGCCCTGTATGCGAAAGATGAAACACTAAACAATGCAAGTCAGCTAACCTAAGCAGGATATCTCGAATCACCAAAACTACTGACATTAGATTCTCTGCTCGTCGTAGTCGCAATTAGGTAACGGCCCGATATTTCGGCAGCCTTCCAAAATCCATTGCCATCTTTAAGTTTATACCTTCCGATAGGGCTGAGAACGTTCTTTCCTACATTTTCGGTAGACGCCGATGTAAATAGAAATAGCCAGGAGTCGCTCCAATAGATGATCGAACCATCTAGAGAGATATTACAGCCTCTGAGGCTAACAGGTGTTGAGATTCCCAACATCCATTGCTCAACACCATCTTTACTTGTGGTGCTTTTAATTCTCCTTTCTCAATTAGCAATGAGACGATTAAGATATTCGATTAGGAGCAAGAACTCACTCTGGCAGTGATATGAGCTTGTCTAGCAAGCGCTGCTTCGACTTCAGCTCCTCGGCCAATCCTTTTGGGACTGCTGTTCCCTTGTACCTCTCAACCGTCTCTGCCAAGTGTTCTGCTACCATTTTGGCATCACATCGATCCTTCTGGACTGGTTGAAGCACCCTGTTCTCCAGGAAATCAAGCATGAAGCTCACTGGCCTCTTTTCTAGAGTATTGCGGGAGTTGGCTTTGGCGATGAGCTTTCTGTGGCATTGCTTCACTGCTGGGCAAACCCTATAGCCTAGAACAATGCTCTTCTTGAAAAACTCCTCCGAGTTTCCGTTTTCTTTGCGCCTCGATTCGTGGTATTGTTGGATTCCTTCTGCGCCTTCTTCTAGATACGTAAAAAGAATGCTGATGATGCATCCAAGCGACCAGACATCGCTCTTTTGATTCATACTTCTTTCAGGCGAAAGAGCCTCGCTAGGAAGGTATGTGCCCATACCAACACGGCCTTGAGTTCCGGACATCGTATCAGAATGAGTGTTTTTGTTGAACATCGTATTGAAATCAATATCCCGTTCTCCAACATTTGACGAAGTTGGGTTATGGGGCATCTTGACTCTGGACATCCCAAAATCGCTTACTTTCCAAATCAAATCTTCTTCATGACTTCCTTGGCGCGTGTCCTTGAATATCAGAATGTTGCTGGGTTTCAAGTCCATATGATAACACACCATCTTCTGCATGTCGGGCGTCTTCATTTGCGTATGAAGAAAATGTAGCCCGTCGGCGAGACCCCATGCAGATTTGAGGCTTCGTATTCTGGCATCGGCGCCCAGTTTCGGCCCGGGATCCCTGACCATCAAATAGTTCTCCAGGCTGTCGATTGCAAGCTCCATAAAAAGACTGAATCTCAATGGGTTAGTCCCGATTTCGAGAGTGCCAATACTCTCCAGAATGTTGTCGTGCTTTGATGTACTTCGAAGAATTTTCCTCATAGTCTCAGCCTCCTCCCTAAAGTTGATGGCAGACTTGACCTTGTAGTCTTTGCGTGCCAACGCTTCTGGTTCGGGATTTGCGTATCCCTTGACCACGAAATGGCCTTTTGCGACCACGACCTTGTAAACATCTCCGTAAGACCCAGATCCCAAGTGCTTCTCCTCAAGCCATGGAAGCCGGCAAGTGTCAAGACTCTTCACAACAGTTCCAATCTCTTTAGGTCCACTGCGAATGACGACTGTAGAGAAACATGCTTGGTTCTTGTAGAATAAGTCCACGGTCGTATCATCGGAGCCAAAAACTTCCTCGAGGAAAGTCCGATCTGCTGGTAGAAGGCTTCGCCGAGAAGTGTGGGTGGTGGCGCTGCTCGAGCTCATGTAACCTGTCCCGGTAGTTCCACAAACAAGCTTCATAGTGAAAGATTGCGCCGCTTCCACAGGGCACATCGCGAACAACAGAACTGCAAGGAAGTCGTGGAGGTGTCTGTGTTGCACCAGCTTGGAAAATTCATGCTTGTCGATCCCAAAATTTGGCTCCTCCGTACAGCCAGTGATAAGAGTCTCGAAAAGGTCTTCCAGATTTCTTGGGGTGAGCACCTCTTTCGCGGTATCTGTGGTAGCAAATTGTTCGTTGTTGCTGTCGCCTTTCATTAACTTATCGCGTAGTTGTTTGTAGATGTCGCGGCGAAACGCATCGTAACTCGCCATTTCTAATCACTTTAGAGAAACCAGGTTCAGAAACGTCAAAGGAGAAGATGCGGTATGGAGGCCGTGCGATGGGACGCGCATGGCGATAACGAGGGTGACATGACAGATTGATGAGAGATGATTGCAAGAGGGAAGCTGACGAGGCTCCGGGGATGAAGGACGTTGGAAGAACGAGGTAAGGGAGGTACGCAGGTCAGCAAGAGGCAGCCAAGCTAAACACTCGCACCATCGCGTGACGGCTGGTTGGCAGGTGACAGCCATCCATCATGTCCTACCACCTGTTCATAACACACATGCAGCTTATTGCACAGCACAATCAGTGGCACAGATAGGCGAATGTTGACAACCTGGTGCTCTCAGAAGAGACCGCTTGCCTGAAATGGATTGTCTGATAAGGGGGCGATGCGAAACGCCACTCGTTTATGATTCGTCAAATTCCGAGACAAAAGTGCCGTGTATGATGCAAACTGAGTTACTGAGCCAATTAACTGTCGAGATATCATTGACACAACTGCACTTGAGGTGTCTTGGAAGCCTGAAGCTCTTTACTTGTAAAGTTCAACTATGTGGAAGACCACATTCTTCTATGCCCAGCCTTGTATCAACGTCAAACACGCCGCAACCTCACCGCCGTCCATTGCAAACAGCAATAAACCCCAACATACCAACACTTTTGATAAACCATAACAGAGCCTTCATCTCAATATATTACACCCTATCTTTCGTTCATCTTTTTGGTGCTTGGTCGAGGCTGTCTCTTTCGATAACCGCATTTTATTAGCTACTACCTTAACTACCTTGGCTTTTTTGATGAGCTCTACAGCCTACCAGTAATCGATCAAAAGGATGAGCTACGACAATCTTTTTCTCCAGGAAACTATCTTCTTCTACTTTTGTTCTCATCTGCCACATTAAGGGGGCCTTAAGTCAACTAGGCTTCATGTCGCCTTCTGTTAGGCTAGGTTCATGGGATGTCTTATTGTCCGATCTGAATTCGTAGCTGTTGATTAGAGGGTGTAGATTTCCCAAGTCGTATTGCCAGCGTATGGGCCTAGAAGTAATATGTCACGAGATATAAGTGAGGTTAATGCGGCTTACATTTGGTGGGCCCGACCTTTGTGACAGAATCAAACTTGCGCGTTTAGAAGAAGTATTGAAACTTGAATTGCACTTTCGTGATCCTGCCGAAAGCTTTGTGAAGACATGGTGTTGTCATATTTTGGACCAGGCACAGCAAAGTTATATTGCTACTGACTTGAGCATTATGATGGTGTTGCCGGGTTGACACTTGTGAGTCGAAAACCAAGACTTCGCCGATGAAACGGCCGAAAGTGAGTAGTCCACGAAAGTAAATCCATGAGTAAAGATGCTAAGTAACATGGCGTCTGATTGCTCAATTGCTCCTTGGCCCGACGGCATGGTCCTTTGGGGTCTTGGCAAGATAACACCTCTTGGCGAGCGACATCGCTGGAAGCTCCGAAGGTTATTCCAAGACTTTTCCACCCCACACTTTGAGGGGCATCCTCCACATCGAAGATAAACACATTCCTATTTCTGCATAGTTCGGGGACCAGTACCGTGATCATCGTACCGCCAGAGGAGATATCATGACGTCTCTGGCATTGGGGCAGGGTAAATGAGGCCTTGGCGACACTATCGGCGTCGGCTGAAGGCCGAAGGGCCCCGGTGAGGATCAATAAAATAGTAGACATGGTCGCATTGTGTACTGCCCGTTGGTCCTGATCGTCTTGCGCCTTCAACCTCGAAAAAACCCTTAAAACTCCGGAACCAACTCCGTGCTTGACAATGCACGTTCCAGAGATTGCGGCTTTCGCCCTGCTTCGCGCAGGCCTTGCTGCTGCTCAGCTCACGTATGCTAGCAACCAGGTTGAGGTAATCCAGGATAGCGAAGTAGTAGCGGCGAACTTCCCAGAAGTTGAAGATGTTGACCTGCGCTCGCCCGCTTTCGCCAACCCGGACGGCGTCCCGGCCACCTTTGCTAATGGCACGAGCGGCCCGACAGACCAGGCCACTCTCGGTGAGTGGAATTGAATTGAGATGCTTAACTCTGCGGCCCGACTCTAATGACTTATGATCGGCAGACTACTTCCTTCAAACTCTCGCAGCGCGCAATGAGTGGATGACCTACCACAGCCCCGACTTCAAGTCGGAAGAAGGCCGCTCGATTCCTTACGTCTACCTGTCTACCTCGAAAGGCGTCCCGACGGATACCAGCCAGAACACCTACGGCAATGCTAGCGCACCCTCAAAAGTACGCATCTGGATGCAGGGCGGCGTCCACGGAAACGAACCAGCTGGTGACCAGGCCCTGCTCGCCCTCCTTGGCAGGTTCGACGCCAATGCCACCTGGGCAGCTTCAATCCTTGAGAAAGTCGACATCATGATGCTCCCGAGATACAATCCGGACGGTGTGGCGTACTTTCAACGATACTTTGCGACCAGCTTCGACCCGAACCGCGACCACACGAAACTTGCGCGCCAGCAGACTCGGGACATCAAGCAGCTGATGGTGAGCTTCGCGCCTCATGTCGGTGTAGATTGTCACGAGTATAGCCCTACTACACCCTTTGGGGCCAACGAGCAATGGGTAGATGCCCAAGACGGCCAGTTCTCCGCCATGAAGAACGCCAACATCCACCCCGATATCCGGAACATATCCGAAGCCATCTTCGCGAACAACATTGCCGCAGCTATGGAGAGACGAGGTCTCCGATGGGGCCCTTATATCGTCGGTCCCTCGGGCACAGACAATCTCGTCCTGGAAGAAACCACCGGTGACGCCAAAATCGGAGATAGTGCCGTTGCACTGACCCAAGCCATCATGTTCCTGACCGAGACACGAGGCATCGGACTAGCAGACCAGCACTGGCAGCGCCGTGTCGCAACGGGCCTGACGATGGTCGAGACAGTCGTTCAGACGGCTGCTGATAGGGCCGAAGAAGTACTCTCGACAGTGGAAAACGCGCGCGCAAAGTTCATCGCCAGCACCGACGACATCATTGTTACGGAGTCTGCTCGGCCGACCAACATCACTTGGCAGTTCATCGAAGCGACGACGGGAGACCTCGTTGATATTCCTGTACAGTTCCTCAACACCACACCCGTGGTAGCAAACCTCACCCGTGCGAGACCAGAGGCCTATGTCTTTTCACGCGCGTGGGCTGATGTGGCTGAGCGTCTGCGAATTACTGGCGTGGAAGTACAGACGTTACAATCTGATTTCCAAGGCGAGGTTGAGGCATTCAACATCACGAGTGCCGAAGTAGCGCGGACAAAGTATGAGGGAATTGCTCGCACGACTGTGACGACGGAGACCGTGGTCAAGGAGGTTCGGATCCCGGCTGGCGGGTTCTGGGTCAGTACTAGGCAAAAGAATGCGGCGCACGCGTTTGTAACTCTTGAGCCTGAAGGTATCGACTCTTATGCTACCTTTAACGTTCTGCCGGTGAGCGTTGGTGATGAGTATCAAGTTTACCGCGTCATGGCATAGGTGATGAAACACGCCTGAGAGAGAGTTATATTTGAGCATTCTAGCTAAACAATCTAATTGTAATGAACGACTTTGACGGTCAAGTGCCCTGTCCTCTAAATTTCTCTATTCTGGAGTGGGCAAGTAACTGAAAACCTCTTTGGTCATCCACTACATAGCGAAATCGCCCTTGTGGCTTATTGAGTTAGGATCTAGTGCCCAGAAGTGAGCTGTTCACTGTCGATTCGTCATCAACGCACAATTTCTGCAGATGACAATCCAACATGAGAAGTTCTGGAAAGAGTAGATAAGTGCTGGCCTGGGAAGGTTCTCTGGACCGACATCAGCCGGAGGATTGCCCAACATGCCTAATTCTCCGCGGCGAATTGTCAAATGTCTAAGTGGGTCTCAACGGGACCAACTCCGGGTTCCGGTGCGGGGGACGGAGACAATGCCCCGTCATGTTCGGCGGCCTTATAAGTGACGAGCAACCCACGAGGCGTGATCACAAGCAGTCAAAATACTATCGGAACCATCTGAAGCTCGCGTAGTAACTCAAGATGGCAAACATGACAGAGTTTCAGAACCCCATCATTCCGGGCTTTGCTCCAGACCCCTCGGTCGTCATGGTCGATGGGATCTTCTACCTCGTCACCTCATCCTTCCACATCTTCCCCGGTCTACCCATCTACGCTTCCCGTGACTTACGAAGCTGGAAGCATATAGGTATATTATTGATTCACCGCATAAAATAGAACAATCCATGGCTAACTCGCTGCGTCAGGCAACGCAATCAACCGCCCAGAGCAACTCACTCTCGCCAACGCAGGCACAAACTCCTTCACCCTTGACACCGGCCACACAATGATCGCAACAGGCGGCCTCTTCGCCGCCACCATCCGTCACCACCGCGGGCGATTCTACATCGTCTGCACAAACTGCGGCTCCTCAAACGGATCCTCCGACTTGCAGAACTTTATCATCCATACCTCTGATATCTGGAGCGGACAGTGGAGTGACCCCGTATCAGTAGACTTCCACGGCATCGATCCAAGTCTGTTCTTCGATGACGATGATCGCGTGTATTTCCAGGGTTGCTTCGTCATGGGCCGCTCAAAGCAGCCGAGTTGTACGATCAAGCAAGTTGAAGTTGATGTTCTCACCGGGAAGCAGCTTTCTGAGCAACGAGAGATTTGGGGCGGGTACGCGAGATACGACACCGAGGGACCGCATGTGTATAAAGTCGATGGTTGGTATTACCTCCTGGTAGCCGAAGGCGGGACTTTTGAGCACCACATGCTTTCCATCGCGAGATCAAGAGACATTTGGGGACCGTACGAAAGCTTCGAAGGAAACCCGATCATGACGGCGGATGGGAAGGATGAGTACATCCAGAACATCGGTCACGGGGAACTGTTTCAGGACGCGAGGGGAGCATGGTGGGCTGCGGTGCTCGGCGTCAGGAGGGATGGTGATGGATGCGCTGCCTTGGGGCGTGAGAGTTTTCTGACGCCCGTTGAGTGGCCTGAGGGGGGATGGCCAAGGATAACTCAGCCCAAGATGGAGTTTGAGAGGGGGTTCGTGGAGGCTGCGTCGAGCTTGGATGTACAAGCTTTGAAACCACCTGCCGGTGTCACGGATGTCTTGATCAGGGATCCCGACTTTTCCAAGTACCGGCTCTCTGAGGATGACGAAAACAGAGTTACACTCTTGCCAAGCTGCAACGGATTCTCAAGTCCTATAGGAACTTGCACTTTTCTCGGGAGAAGGCAAAGATCTTTGGCAACTTACGCCATTGCTTCTCTCAAGCTAGACGACAACATGAAGTCAGCAAAGGGGCTTCGAGCAGGTTTGGCAATGTACAGAGACAGCGCCCGACACGTCTCAATAGCGTTCGACTCTGATGCTAAGGCCATCGTCTGCCATGCCTTCAACTCTGCGTCTGGCCTCGACAAAGTCTTCTCAAAAACCCTTCCTCTGGGGAACGAGACACGGAGGGTCAATTTCAAGATCCAAGCTTCGGAGACTGAGTGGAAGTTCTATGCTGCACTGCTCGACGAGGATGTTGCTGCTTTTGGCAGCGAAAGTCTTAACCTGGATAATTGCAGTTGGGAAGAGATCGGGGTGGTTCCGGTCAAGGATCTTGATGCCCGGGACTTCACGGGACCCATTCTGGGCATTTTTGCTCAGGCTTCAGTTAAGGAGACTGAAGATACACCGGTTACGTTCTCTCACTTTTCAGTGGAAGACGATGGATTCTGTATGTAGTCGGCATTGACGCATCAAACAACAAGCTCATCGCTTAAGACAAAGGAAACTCCATGGCCATTTCAGAGACATGCTGAAGCTGTGTTGAAAAGGATGAAAGAGGTGACATTGGGGTAATCCAAATAGGGCAAGTATATGACAAAGACTCAAAGGAGAGCAAGGACAACACAAGACAACGCACAACCAAGCGTCGGGAACGCTCCTTGTGTCAACAACACAACCAAAAGGCATCCCGGCAAAAGATTTTGACCAGCATGGGGGTCGAACCCACAATCTCCTGATTCCACGGTATATCGTAGTCAGACGCCTTGCCATTGGGCCAACCGGCCAGACAATTCAGAACATCTTTGATGCTCGTCTGTGCCCAGCTGTGCTCAGTTTGTGCTTCAAGTTTCGTTGCGAACTGTGCGGGTATGGTTGACGTTTTTGCCCTGGCAGATTGGAGGTCTGTGATGTTGCTGCAGCGGGCCAATGGCGACCTCCCAATTTGGAGTAAATGTGAGAAAATTTGCTAGCTGCTTTGTTCGGCTGAATTGAGAAGGGGGGGCCGAGGGGCAGGCTAAATGCCTCAGCCCCTCCCGATGTCGGGGTAAACCGTGTAATTGGGGTCGATATTACGAATTTCCTCGGCCCCGTTGGGAAAAGATTGTGGTGATGACATTGGGATTTGGCCAGTGTGGTTGAGCGAAATGTGAGTCATTGTCCCAATTCATTGCCCCTCTTACTGGGGCGTTACGGATAATCTGCCGGTGTTTTACACACTGCTGCCAATATATCATATGTGACTCTGGGGGAGCGGCAAAAGCTTGTTGTAGATGCTAGTCTCGAAAATTGTGGTCTTGTGTGCGATCTATTGTTTTCAGGTGCAAATGGAACTTCTATCAATAATTCCATGGAGAGACTCAACGTCTCATCTTTATGTCGTAACCCCTCTGGGTTCATTTTCCTCCTAATGCACGGGGACACCTGGATCTAGTATCCACGGAAGATAAGGTCCTCTCTCTTGGGGCCAGTGCCGATCCAGACAACCTTGACACCAACAAACTTCTCAATGAACTCAACGTACGCGCGAGCCTGCTTGGGCAGGTCATAGTACGTCTTGGCGCCCGTCGTGGGCGTGTTCCAGCCCTCGAGCTCCTCGTACACGACCTCAGCGTCATCAAGGGCCCTGATGTTGGCAGGGAAGGAGGGGAACTCCTCGCCAGTGTGCTTGTTCTTGTAGCCGACGGCGACCTTGATGGTGGGGAAGGTATCGAGGATGTCGAGCTTGGTAAGGTTGAGAGCGGTGTAGTGGTTCAGGTCGTGCGAGTACTTGATGACGACCAGGTCGAGCCAGCCGCAGCGGCGAGAGCGGCCGGTGGAAACACCGATTTCGTGGCCAATCTTCTGGAGCTTCTCGCCCGTCTCGTTGAGCAGTTCCGTGGGGAAACCGCCACCACCGACACGGGTGGTGTAGGACTTGACGACACCGACGACGTTGTTGATCTTTCTGGGGTTGAGGCCGAGCTTGTGACATGTCAGGGCACTGGTCTGTTCATTCAAGGATTACTTCAACTTACACCAGTGAAGACACCGCCGAGGCCAGTGTTGGATGATGTAACGTAGGGGTAAGTACCGAAGTCTATCAAGATTAGCAAGGCATCCATAATCAATATGCTATAGTATTCACGTACTCAAGTCAAGCATGACAGCTTGAGCACCCTCAACGAGGATCTTGTTCCCGTTCCTCTGAGCGTCGGCGATGATGGGGACAGCATCGACAACAAAGGTCTATGGAGGCATGTTAGTCACCAATACGGCATTTCAACGTCGCGGGGAAACTTACGCGGAGGTCCTCTCTGTACTGCTTGAAGCGCTTGATCTCGTCCTCAACGTCGTAGACAAGAAGGTCGCCGAAGCGCTTCTTGAAACCCTGAGCGAGCTGGCGAAGCTTGTGCTCAAAGAGCTCCTCGTCGAACATCTCGCTGATGGTGATACCGTTGCGGGCAGCCATGGTGCTGTAGGTCGGGCCAATACCGCGCTTGGTGGTGCCGATGCTGTTGCCGCCAAGCTCCTGCTCCTCCAACCCATCGACCTGGATGTGGCAGTCGGTGATGATGTGGCAGCGATCGGACACCAAGAGGCGCTCGCGGATGTTCTTCAGGCCCTTGGCCTCGAGATCGGCCATCTCCTTGAAAAAGGTCGGGACGTGGACGACGGCGCCGGATCCGATGAGGCTGATGCACTTTTGGTGCAGGAGACCAGAGGGAAGAAGGTCTGTAGATGGTGATGATCAGCATAAGGGGGTCAAAGGAGCGTTGCGAGGACATAAACACGTACGGAAGTCATAGCTGACGCCATCGACGATGACGGTGTGACCGGCTGTTGGAGGTCGGGTTAGATACTACACGTCGCGATGGCTTCGGGAGTTGGAGTGACTCCTACCATTGTGTCCGCCCTAGGGCCATCAGCATGCCATTGATTATCCAAAAGGTACCAAAAACCCAACCTGAGCTCTGGCGCAAATCTGCGCGTCTTGTCCGAGGCTATATCGCGGATGTCAGAAGAGGGGCCCGGGGGCGTCAATGGGCATAGCTTACACGTCGACCAGCTTTCCCTTACCCTCGTCACTATTTGAGCGCGATATGTTAGTTCGTAGTTCTGCGGCAGGTCTTCAATGGCGCAGCAGAGGTGAATGTTTGTCGATGTGTCGCGATCCATCGAGAGCATACGCATACACGGCCGATACGTGTACACCCTTGAGGTCCCTGTCTGTCATGTATCACTCTGCTGGCCGGAGATTGAGAAATGTAACCAGTGTGCAATAGCACAAGATAGACAAAGGAGAGAAGCGGGATATTGTGAGGTGAGAATACGCATGTATGTGTAGAGCAAAAGGTAGAGCAAATTTGGGCCGCGAGAATGTTGACAGCTTACCCCCACTGGGCGCCGAGAACGATATCAATCGTAGCCATGGCGTCCGGTATGGATTGAAATGTGCGAGAGAATGAGAGAATGTGTGTATAGCAACAAGCAACTTGTTTAGCGAATTGTCCAAAGTATGGGTTGCTGCGATCGCAACGTCGGTCTGCGATAACTTCACAAAAACAATCAGAAGGGGAAGACGCGGGGTTTAAAAATCGGCCATGGAGGGGCAGGTTTTGCTTTGGCGGGGTTCCAGGTCTGCGGGCCAACGTGACGACGGGCCCACTTCTCTGCTGCTTCCCTCGCTGCGATGACTCTTTCCCGCAGGGCAGCAGCAGGGCAAGGTTCCTTCCATTTGGTGCTGTCCGCGGAAGGTGTGTGCTCTAAAACGATTGCGTTATCGGCCACTTGTCGGGACTCGGTGAGTACGTACCGCGGCAATGGGCCGGACGATACTCCGTCATGTGGCTGATGACAGCTTAGCCACAAAGCCACAGCCACAGATTACCTGACATTTCAGCCACATTGTGAGCCTCAGGAATTTCTCTAAAGGAAGAATTCCTCTCAATCAATTCCCTCTCTTGCGCGTCTGTTGCTCGCCGAACTCAGCTTGCTAAAGGCCAGTTCTTATCAGACAAGGACGCTTCAATCAAAGACAATTCTTCTACTTCTTGAGGTACTCAGACCACCTTAGCTTGATCATGAATAAGAGACTCCGACAAGAGACTACCTTAGCCAGCATAAGGCGCATACCTCTCGTGAAGGTGCAAGCCAATAACCAAAAGTTCAACTCTCGCTGATGGTATGCCCAAGTTTGTCCGTAATACCTTGCGCTTTCATTCATCCACCGTCCACGTGCTGTCGTCCGAATTGGAGCAAATCGGCCGAGCCTACATATTTATTACTGGACCTCGTCACGTCAAGCTCATGAACCTAGCGCACATCGCAACCCCTGTCGATTCTCCGCTTTGCTGGCAATGTTTTCATCGCCGAGGACCGAACTAGCCTTTTTTCTCCAGTTACGAGAACTTCAAGTTGCCCAATAATCACATTTGTTTGGATACTATCGCAGGCTATAGACCATCATGTAGCGAGAGAAAAAGAATGCAATGATTTCACTTGATCAACCTGACTCACTGCGAATCGAAGTACAACCTATAGTGGGTTTGCATTGAGTTGTAGGGAGCGGAAACGCACACGATTGACCACGCTGAAAGCCCTTCACATGTCTTCCCGAGCTCATCCTCGGGCTGAGCAAAAGTTCCTTGCCTACCATGGACCAACATCGTCAATATGACCAACGAGATGGAAAAGCGCTCACTGATCGGAACACGTACCGAGCAAGGGCAGGGGAATCCATGAGGGACTGGGACTAACCTGGTGTAGCTGGAGCACACCAGGGCCAAAGCTGAAAACTTGCCTAGGCCTACCGAGAGCGCCGACGCCATCCAATCTTATCTGATGGATCAGATAACTTTCTTCGTCCCCTACCCCACGCCTCCTCTGCAACCTTTATCAATCTCTTCACTCCCCTCCAGCCAATGACACTTCTCACCAACGGCCAAGCTAGCGTCCCCCTCTCCACCTCGCCGTCAAAAAGGCCCTGGACGCGACCCGAATGAAGCGAGAGAGCTCTAACCGAGCATCCTGATCTGGCATGGCTGCCATGCATAGAGGTACAACCCCTTGTCAAGTTGGCCGGACCATCTAACCGACCCTGGCTTTGGATGCACCATCGGATCACTCAACACGAACGCCTTATTCTAATAACGCTGGTGATGGAGTGAGGGAGGGTCGAACTACCTGGCGTGCGGACGCCACATGCAGAAGCCTGACTCTAACATTGTCCAGGAACATGGCCTGCCCTCCAAGGTAGCCATGGACTTGGAAGGCTCTATGTGTTTGTACATATATAACATTGTATGTACCCCCGGCAAGAGCTAGACGTGATGAGATTTCCTTTCTCTTTTCCGCGCCTATCACTCGTCTCCTAATTCCTTGGTTAGCATCACCAAAAAGTCTGTCTCTTGTGTCGTCTGAAAAGCCGTAAACCTCATCACAGTCCTCAAGATGAAGTGCTCATACGTCCTCCTGGCTACCGCCGGCCTTGCCGTGGCCCAACAAAAGTTCACAGATGTCGTCCCCAAGTGTTCCATCGAGTGCCTCACAAAGGCCGTAAAGGACGGCACCAAGTGCAGCAGCATTGACGACTCTGCCTGCATCTGCGAGGCGGACAACTACCGCAGCATCTACACCGTCGGCGTCAACTGCGTCCTTCAAGCCTGCGGCTCTGACGTTGCTATTGGTACGTCAACTTCACTTTAGTCCGTTTCTGTTTTGCACATCTACCAGGCTCTACGCCTTCAATGTTCCAGGCAACAGCCTCAACACCATGACTGACACTTGCTCTCAACAACAGGTCAGCTCCTCCCCGCCGCCGGCAAGTTCTGCCGCGAGGTCACCGGCGGCGCCTCCGCTCCTCCCGTCGACTCTGCCTCCGCCTCCGCCTCCGCCGTCGTTTCTTCTGCTATCGCATCTCTGTCATCTGCCGCCGCTTCTGCATCGACTGCTGCTTCTAACGCGACTGCCTCTGTCTCGATCACCGCCACACCGACTGCCGGCGCTAGCAGCACGGCTGCCGCGGCTACCACGGCTTCTCAGGGTGGTGCTGCTCCTGCTTTGGCTTCTATGGGTGCCCTTGGCATGCTTGCTCTCGGTGGTCTTGCTGCTTTCTAGAGCAATGTTCTCCGGGAAAGGAGTGACTGAGGAGCAATGTAGAGGAGGTCGGAAACAGTGACATTTACCGAGCCAGGCTGAGCGATGCCATGTGAAATCACTAGGCACCTAAAATGTTCATTCACCATCTGACAATAATTTGAACTTATTGAGATGGTCTGTAGATACCTGCTTATTAAAAGCAAATAAAGTACCATACTATGTTCTCGAATAGTGCATAGCTTCGATAACGTGCGATCTCTCGGGGCTCAAAGACTCGAGACGATGTTTCCTTGGACGAGAATTGAAAGTCAAGCGAACCTCCAATCTTATCATTTACTGTCCAGCCTTCATCTTCCAGGACCGCGTAATCCACACCGTGTCGTAAGGCTTGCTCATAAAACTTGAGCTCCACTCCCAAATCCTCTAGTTTTCGTCTGATCACCAGTTTCTCAGGGCTCATTCCTCCCGTGTTGGTTTTGGTGATGATGTGTAAGGCAAGAAACTGGGGAAGCTCTCCTCTTTTGATACGTCTTAGCAGTCCTTGTACATTATAGACCAAGAAAACAGCTCGAAAGCCACCCCAAGAGATAAGCATCGCAAGGAAGATGGGAGCGATGATACCAGGTCATTACCCTTGTATAGCTCACTCCGGCACTCGAGTCTCAAAACTTCGAGCAGCTCGTGCTCATGAAGGTATCCCCGTGGGTCCGTTTTCTCGTCGCTCCCTTCGGTAGAACGATCCCAGGCGGTGACGCCCCGGTATTTTCCTGAGCTGCCACCCAGTCGTAGACGTTTGAGGGTGGGTGCGAGGTCTTTTAGACGCCCGACGCAAGAGTCATTCATGTTTTGGCACGCCACCCATTCCATGTGGCCGTGGCTAATACACTGTATTTCTTCCATGCCGCCACAGCGTATGAACATGCAATCGATTGCAAGATCACGCAAGCTGCTACTATCATCGAAAGGCCATCCGTAGGGTCCGTAGGGTCCGTAGCAGCAGGTTGTATGCGGGTAAACTTGACGAGGGACATATGAAGGGCTGTCGAACATCAGCATCGTGGGAATGTCCATGTTGCGCCGAATTCCCATGAAAATCAATCTCTCGATGTCTGGGTACTCAGGAAAATGTAGGTGGTGTTAATGGTATACTGATACTGTTTCTAGGGCTGGTTTTTGCAGCATCAACCACTAGTGCCACATAGCTGTTCCCTCGGAGGAAATGCATGCCCCACAACCTTGTGCCGATTTCTACCACCGGCTTCAGTGCATAGGTGCCAAGAGAGGCATGGTTCGTAAAATCTTCAAGACCTCTCGAACGGTGGAACTTTGGGATTTCCATTGCCTGAGGTTGGACTTCTCTGAAAGAAAATGACCGGATGTGTTTGGCGAGATCGGGACGTTCAAAGAGCGTGTACACCAGCAAAAGCGCTTTCTGACGTCTGACGCAGGACGCAGAAATGATAGAGGTACGGAGTTGCAATGTCTCGCCAGTGAGTGTCAACAAGATAGAGGTTGAAAAGCTCGGCGCTATTGGTGTGGCTTGGTCGGTCTGGGTTGGTGAGACAACCTGTGCAATGCTCACAGGGATTTGAAGCTAATAAATGATGGACCGCGTCTGGTAGGCTCGTGATGGTTACTAGAGGATGTTTCCTGTCCACTGCAAGAGAGACAGTATCTGATGCATCGGTGGCTGCCGGATTGCCGGAAGTTTGTGCGGGATCTATGCCTGGTATGAGAGATGATTTCTAATGCAAATTTGGTATGGGGGGGGGGGGGGTTATCGACTTTTGATCGCTGTAAGCGGGGGGGACTTTTGAGACAGATGGAGATTTGGAAGAATTTGGCACTCTTCAAGTTCTAGGCATTAGAGCTCTCGACTATATGTGTGTCCACAGCCTACGATGGTTGCCAACGTTTGAAGAAACTCTCGCAACTAAGATCCAAAAGGTTGCGGCCTCACTCAAAATTGACTTTGGAACCTTAGTGTGCCGTGTAAGGTTAATGGAGTTCAATAGCGTTAGTAGACACGGCGCGCATAACACAAAGTTTTATTAACCTCAACGTAGTTTTAATAGAACGGTTCTTTCAACTCTTCCGACTGCTAAAAAGGGCTATATCACTAAAGTCGCCAATCGTCTAGTTTCCAAGTTCTGGATGGTACTCGACTCACAGTGGCGACGTACCTACTTTTCTGCCTATCTACTTATATACTGGCACGATGTATATATGAACTAAGGCTGTTAGCTTTGATCAAGTGACAATTCTGTGATGCCTGACTCTAACTACCTTACCTTACGTCAAGCTAAGAGAAGATAGAGCTCAGATAATAAACGACCTTTTTCCGAAGATGGCAGCATTTATCATGAGTATTTTCCGTTACATATAAAGAGTGCTTAATGGTCCGTGAAGTAGGTACATACGCCCACCCTAGATGGGTGAACAAACATCTGTTAGCACAGTGATACGGTAACTTAAGGTAGAAGAGGACTGGTCAGAGGGACTGCAGCACGATTGGGGCTTTGCATCAAGATCCTTGAGACTGCGACCGAAGGTTGTAGAAGTGAGAATTTCATGGCATAAAGTAGAAAATCCGAAATTAATCCTTCTTCACTGGACTCTTATGGCACCCTTGGGCTGCATGGTGGTCAGGAGATGCAATACCCCTCCTCCTTGGCACAGCGACCACAAACAATTTCGGCCTCCCGTGCATGATCGCTGTCGCGCATCAGCTCTCGGCATCTCAGACGGCTCAACTTTACCTCCAGTCTTGAGTGAAAAACTCTTCTTTTCCATTTTCTCTTGAAAGCCTTTGGCCTCGTTCATTACGCCAGGTTTGAATGATTATGGGGAGAGTGATCGGATGTGGAAAATAGATGGAATCATCTTAATCACAATCGAGTGAATCTGGGGACCAGGAAATGATTATCCCGATCTTCCCAACCCCATTTAACCGGTGCCAATAGGATATCATGGAAACCTGGGCATACAGTTACTCTAGACTCCCAGTGACGCAGATCTCGTAACCCCACGGGGAGGAAATCGGACCACATCTTACACCCTTGTCAGCCGTTCCCCCGGGTCATGTAATCCGAGGATCACTTCTAATACCTGGATGCACCTTCAATAAATTCCAATTCATATCAAACTTCCTGGGAGACGTGGAGACCTGTGTATTGATCAGGAACAGATTTGATACGAGATCTCACTAGCCCCTGGACAACCACTTCACATGCAATGAAGATGGCCACCGCTGTAGCCAAAGCGCCATATTTTGGGCTCAAGGGGAAATGGCTTACTTATTGGATTACATTTGCATGCAGTGTAGACATGCTCATGTTCGGCTATGACCAAGCAGGTAAGCGATTTTACCGAAGTCTGAGCCGTATGCTAACACGAGCAAAGTCTTCAGCGGCGTTATTGTGACTAACGATTTTCTCGAGCTCCATGACCTCGTCGGCCCGGAGAAGACCCGTATGTTATCTACAATCACAGCAATATACGACATCGGCTGTTTCGTCGGAGCGATTTTGGCATTCACAATTGGGGAATCACTGGGTCGAACGAAGTCCATCCTCATCGGTACCGCGATCATGAGCATCGGCGCCATCTTGATGGCATCGTCTTATAGCTTGGCCCAGATGTTTGTTGGGCGCATTGTGCTAGGGTGAGTATCAGCCAATGCCCTTGCTCGTTCCATGACGAGGCAAAATCATGCTCATGTCTACACAACAGAATCGGCAACGGAGTTAACACGGCTACCGCCCCGATTTGGCAAACAGAGACAGCTCCCGCTCACTGGCGTGGGAAGCTAGTCATGTTTGAGATGATGATGAACATTGTAGGGTTCTCCCTCTGCAACTGGATCAACTTTGGGTTGTCATACGCAGGCGGTGCTGTCGCGTGGAGGTTCCCTCTCGCCTTCCAATTCGTCTTCATCATCGCGCTATTCGCCACTGTTCCATGGCTGCCCGAGTCGCCCCGGTGGCTTATGTCACATGGGCGGGAGAAAGAGGCCACACAGATTCTTGCCTGTCTCGAGGCCGCACCAGAAGACGATGCGTTCGTTATTTCGCAGAAGGAAGAGATACGATTCAGTATCGACTACGAAAGAGAACATCATATCCGGTGGAGAGATCTGCTGCGGCCTGATCCTGGTGCGACCAAACCACTGCGCAGAATCATTTTAGGGGCTGGCACGCAATTCATGCAGCAATTTGAAGGTAAGATGGATCTTGGTTCAGGAAGGGATGGCGCCAAGTGCCTCTGACATATCGTTGCATGCAGGTATCAACATCATGAGTTATTACATGCCGGCCGTTTTGATCTCTGCCGTAGGCCTATCAAACGAGCTGGCGCGTCTTCTAACCGCTGTCAATTCATTGACTTATCTGATCTTCTCTTGTGTCTCCGTCACCCTAGTTGAGAGATGGGGACGGCGTGGACTGATGCTTCTGTCTACTGCCGGTCAAGGCTTAGCGTTTCTCGTTATCACGATTCTTCTCAGGTATGGTGGCCCGGGAGGAGACCGTAGAGCATCAGAGGGATCCATTGTCTTTTTCTTTCTCTACTTCATGGCCTTCGGCCTGGGAATGTTGGGTGTTCCCTGGCTTTACCCTACAGAGATCAACTCGATCGCCATGCGAACAAAAGGTGCTGCAGTGGCTACAGCCACCAATTGGTACATCAAGTCTTTGATCGTTCTGTTTTGAATCAGCTGACATTATTCAGGATGACGAACTATGTGATTGTCCAAATCACACCAATCGGAATCCAAGATTTGGGATGGAAGTTTTGGATCGTGTTTACAGTCCTAAACGCTGCGTTTCTGCCTGTCATCTACCTCTTTTATCCTGAGACAGGTAAAGGCCAATTCCAAATCCAAGCATGCAGGTACCTCGATCAAGATTCGTCTAACACGCAAGCTAGCAAACCGAACACTCGAAGACCTCGACGAGTACTATCGCAACAACCCTCCTCTCTTCGTTATTGGCGATAAGGACGCGATTGCCAGTAAAAGACCCAAGAAATACGTCGATAGACAGGAAGCACATGTTCAGCGGGTTGCTCACGGGAATGAGGTCACTGAGACCAGCGAAAATGCGGTTTTATCTGGAGAAAAGCACCAAGCAATATGAGACTAGCGGCTTGTTTCGGGCAGGGTAAAGAGACCAAAGGTTCAAGATGTACTCATTAGTGTGTCTTTTCATGTCAGGGTATACCCTCCATCAACGATGATATCAGCACCAGTCATGTAGCAGCATGCATCGCTTGCCAGAAAGACATAAACCTATATCTCGTGGTTAGCAAACGTAGACCGACCGTGTGACTACTGCAATCTGTCTTACGCCTTTGAGCTCAGATGTCTCAGCCATTCGCTTGCCGGGAATCATCTCCATCCACTTATCGAAGCGTTCTTTTGGTTGAACATACAACACTTAATCCAGGTCAGCACTAGTTCCGGAATTAGATGAGGGCAAGCCATGCACTCACTCTCCGTTTCAATAAAGCCCGGAGACACGCTGTTGACCCTTGCGAAGTCTACCCATTCTACCGCGAGGCTCTTTGCCAGGTGTACGGCGGCTGCCTTTGAAGAGTTGTAGGCAGCCTGTCGCTGGGGAATGTTGACCAGTGTCGCACTGACTGACGCAGTAATGATGAGGTTGCCACGCCCCTGTTGCTTGAAGACCTTCCCGGCAGCCTGCGCCGTCCACATGACACCATCAAGGTTGACACTATTGTTGTCTTTCCATGTCTCCTCAGTGTACTCAAGGCTGGGAATATCAGCGCAGACGCCAGAGTTTGCAATCATGACATCAAGGTGCCCAAAGTCTTGAACAATCTGATCAACCGTGGCGGCAATTGAGGCTCGAGACCGAACGTCGCTCTGGTAAGCGCGAATGTTCACACCTGTGTCCTTGGCAATTTGGCTGGCGATCTCAACGGCATCTTTGCTGGTCGCGTAGATCAGAGCTACATCTGCCCCGGCTTCGGCGAGGCCCCGAACGATCTCGAGGCCAATGCCTCTGGCGCCTCCCGTAACGGCTGCGACCTTGCCTTTCAGCGAGAACTGCGAAAGGACAGGTGCACCGGGATTGGGTGGCTTGTACAGCGGCATGGCGGATGATGTGTGATTGGGACGCGTTCAAATAATGAGTTCAAGTACCGCACTTAAGAAGCAATAGTCAGTTGATACTCGGGCAGGGAGCAGCGAATGCGAGTTCATCGGACATTAGCCTAGGAGGGGTAATTGAGGGGTTGGAGAACTGCGCCAAGATGGCTGAAGTAATCATGCATGGGGATAGGGCGAGAGGGTTCCTCGAGACTGGATAACTATTACTCAGGTGGAAATTAAGTAAGTCGCTCAGTCATTTCTCTTTGAATGATTTGATTGTGGTTGTTCTTTTTCTCTATTCACTCCTTGCTTGAAAGACAACCTATTGTGTTTGACATTCCTCTACTGGGAATTCTCTACTTAAAGCGGTAGTCCACCTACTTGACTTCATACCCTGTGTCGAGAAAGAAACGAGGTCACAGGCTGGGTGATCTGATGGAATGAGCTATCATAATCAAAGAGACTACCCCAGAGTCGGCTTCGCCGGTGCTCGGCTTGTCAGCCATTTCTGGAGAGCATGGATAACCCTCCGGTCTAGTCCGCGGCCCGCGGCGCATCAAGGAAGGGCCCAGGAGTGCACACTGCCGTTACCCGTCGTAAACGCGACGCTGAGTTCCCACAAGCGCCGGGATGGTAACGACCGACCGTTGTATTAGATATCTATTGCGGAATCGCAACTGTTCGCGACTTAACGCCCCGAGGATTACTGTCGATCGTCATCAGGTGACACTAACGCTTTTCCATCCCCGACTTAAGGACGCTAGAAAGGCTTCATTTACTCTGTGGGGAAGCGGGTACCTTAGATCAGATTGGGGTAGGTCTCGTGGAGTGACCGTATGCACCCCAAAGATGATGGTTCCATTTCCAGATCCGAGCCCCGGCCAACGCCATGAATACGATGTTTCATTGCAGATCCCATGCGGCAGGTCCTCTCTTAAAAGCGACAGTCTGCCGGCTTCGCTAACTTGAAGCGTCCTAGCCACCATCGTCTCTATTGGCGCGCAAGTCTATCATCGTGCGGTTGAGTTGCCGCCGTATTTTGGACTTCGCGACTCTTGAAAGTATTTAAGGCGACGATTGGAATGTCTAACATCGAATCGCTTCAAGATCCGAGCGCTGCACGTCTTCAAAGCTAGGGCGTCTGAGTCTCTTGTTCCACATTCATCATGGGCATCTCAAGCTTCCTCCTCCTCGGCCTCGGGGGCGCCTCTCTGGCCGCGAGTCAGTCTTTCCAGTCGACGCCCGTCATGGGATGGAATTCGTACAACCAGGTCGCCTGCAGCCCGACCAATGCCGGTATCACAGCCGCCATCAATTCTATGGCTGACCGAGGCTTCGTCACCGCGGGCTACAAGTACTTCCAGGTCGACTGCGGTTGGGCATCCAGAGACGGCCAGCGAAATGCTACATCGGGCGCGTTGAAGATCGATGCCACCGCGTTTCCTCAGGGGCTCAAGCCCTTGAGCGATCTCGCGAGGTCCAAAGGCATGAAATGGACCATGTACTCTGATGCCGGCGTGCGCATGTGTGACACCCAGGTCCCGAGTCCTGTCGCGGGCTCACTCGGCCACGAAGCCGCCGACGCCGACTTTTTCAAGACACTCAACACAGAGTATCTTAAGTGTGAGTTATACAAGATATAATTGTCGAGTTTGCCTCTAGTGCTACGCGGCATGCGCTGACTATGATCTGCTCTCAGATGACAACTGCTATGTGGACGGTCCCAACTCATCGCAGAATGCGCCCAAAGACCCGCGAACCGATTTTGTATCGCGTTTCACCGTCATGTGGAAAGAACTTCAACGAGTCGGCATTCCGGGCATGCTGATCTGCCAATGGGGAACCCCCTATTCGGCTTCCAGCGGCCTCCAAGGGCCCGCACAATGGGCGAAGGGCATCTCGACCTCGTTCCGACTGTCAGACGACATTGCCACGGGCTGGAGCAACGTTTACCGAATCTACAACCAAGCTATTCACATTGTCAAGTCCGGCATCGTCGGGCCGGGCAACATCGCTGATGCTGACCTTCTCGAAGTCGGCAACACTGGCATGACTTTTGACGAGCAAGCCACTCACTTTGCGTCCTGGGCCATGCTCAAGTCTGCGCTCATGATCTCCACCAATCTTGCCGCTCTCTCTGATCAGGCCGTTGCCGTCTTGCAAAACAAGGATCTTATCGCCATCAACCAGGACTCAGCCGTCAAGCCCATCAAGCTAGTTCAGCGCTGGACAGGAAATCGCGACCTCTGGGCCGGTGACCTCGCCAACGGAGATGTCGCCGTCCTTGTCGTCGACCTGAGCAATGCGGCCCGCACGCTGACTGTCCAGCTCGCCGATCTCGGCATCACCTCCGCCACGGTCAAGGACCTCTGGACGTCAAAGTCGGTCACCAACGCCAACAGCTACTCTGCGCAAGTCAACGCTCACGGTTCCCTCGCACTTCGTCTCTCCAACATCCAGCGCTCAACCGCCGCCGGCGCGAAGTACAACTACGTCTCCGTCGCCACCGGCTCGCTGTCATCCGGCGCGAACCTGCAGTCCTGCTCCGGCTGCACGTCCTCTAACAAGGTCGGCAACCTCGGCGGCTCCTCCAACGGCCGCGTTGTGCTGTCCAACGTCTCGACATCAAAGGCCGGCACGCAGACCGTCCTGTTCGACTACATCAACGGTGACGTCGGGTACCTGGGAGGCAGCAACAACGAGAGGCTGGCGTCCATCAGTGTCAACGGGGGCGCCGGGCAGACGGTCAGCTTTCCTCTCAGCGGGTACAACTGGTCCGCAGATGTTTTCAAGGGATACGCAGTTGAGTTGACAGGTTTCACCGCCGGCGGCGCCAACACCATTAGCATTTCGGGCGTGGGAAGTGCTTGGGCACCGGACTTTGACCGGGTAGGCTTAGCTGCGTAGACGTTGCATGCACAAGAATCAAAGTCGTGAAGAATTTGCATAATGTTTGCCGTTCATGATCAATGGTCCCCTTGCCACGCTACAGTCAAAAGCATTGTGTCTAATTCACAAGTGCATGTCAAGACTTAGAAGAGGAAATGGGATTCACCAATCTGATGATTGGAATACCTGGCTTATGCATGAACCAAATTCCTTCGCAATGCATTGTCAGACATATTAATTGCCTCTAAGCCATTGGCCCTTATCTCCCTATTCTCCTGCCTAGAGTAGTTTCCAATTCTCAACATCCAGAGCTGCAAGGTCACCACCACACAATGTCGCATGATGATTGTAATGAACAACTTCGACTCCCAAATCCTCAAGTTGTCCGAAGAAAGGGGATGGAGCTCGACGGTTGCAAGCGATGTGCAGGGTTCGGAATTCCGGAAGATCACCACGTCGTATCCTTGTAATCAATCGCTCTATTGTGTGGTACTCACGTCGAATCGTGTGGTCCATCGGACTTCTAATGGCCCAGTTGCACCCTGGCAAAAATAAAGTACGCAGTGAAATCGGCAATGAATCGAAAAACGCCCCTGTTCGGACGGCCTCGCGTGGAAAGGGCGTGGAATGGTCGCGACAGAGGGCGCGGTTGAAATCTAATCGCAAAGTATCCAGACGGGTGAGTTGTTGCAACAAATCCAGGCCGTCCCACTCCCACGATGGATGCTCAATAGACATAGTACCTATATCAATGCTCAGTCGTAGCCGTTTGAGAGTAGGTGCGAAAGGCTGTAATGATTCTAGCAAACTAGCTCTCCGGCTGGGGTGCTGCGGCATGATAATCTGAATCTCTTCCAGAATTCTGCAGACCCTGCAAATCGACTTATAGTGGTCCACGAACGATTGTGTGCTACGCGGGCTTCCACCAATTTTTAGACTCGTAAGGTTTGCGAACAGATTATCAAGACTGAGGCCTAGAGGAGACTTGATTGGAATGAAGTCGAAGAGAGCGAGAGAGGTCAGGTTTGGCGCGAGTTGAAGCGCGCACGAGTATTCAATGGTGTCGTGGAGGAACTCCGGCCCTCCTCCTCCTAGAGAATCCGGTTTGCCAAGGGTCAAGTGTACTAGATTTTTGAATCGGGTGCGTGGGTTTTGTGGCGATGTAACTGTTGATAAGCTCTCAGCAACCACGAGGTTCTTTAAAACTTCACCCGACCATTGTACTGGCAGCTTTACGTGCTTCGCCCGAGTCGTGTGTGCCAGCAACATAGTCGCCAAGAATGACTGGACTTCGTTGCCTGTGACAATCCACTCTGGCAGATTCGTCGTATCCTCATCGCGGGGAAACTCAATTCCAAGCTGTTTGCTTCTTTTTTTCAGTAGCATCGTCGCTTCTTGATATCCACGCAGGGTTTCATAAGAGAAGCTGTCTATACAAACAGATTCCACAAGTTCTCCAAGGTCAGGGCACTCAACGAGAGACCTGAGAAACAGCGGTAAAGTTTTCGTCGCCCTATAGTGTCGGAACAGAAACATCTGGCCAACTGCCCGCCATGCTGGGCCAACGAGACAGAAAGTCCAAAGATTTCTCCGGGCGATCAATTCCAGACCCTTCTGCCATTCTGCTAGGTCTGAAGATTCATAGCCGGATTCGAGATGAGGAGCTATTCGAAGTAGAATCTCAACGGGTAAGTGTAAGCTTTTATGTCCGGTTCGAGCGCCCAACATGCCACTTGTATGACTATATTCGTGGGACATATTTGCTTCTGTTGGTCCGGGTGTGGCAAAGTTCTCAAGTCCACTGTGCTTTCCAAAGCTAGGGGACAAAAAAGTGTGCTTGGTAGTTCAAGCTGGGAAGAGTTCCTTGGACACTTGTCGTTGAATTTTTGCAGGAAGAAAGTGCTTGCCGTGGATTATTGAAGAAAATAAGGCAGACGGTGGCCAAGCAATACCAATATTGTGTCGTATCTCCGTTATCCAACAGACACAGGGGGTGTTGGGGCGGTAGGGGGTCCATTCATCATCATTTCATGACTTTGACTGTGACATCTTACATTTCATGATACCTTGCGGTCAACTAAATGGAGATAAGGATGCCCCTTACACACATCACTGCCATGGGCGAGTGAATTATTCCGAGCAGAGGTTTACTACCGCTGTCATTCAATTTTTCTATTCTCTTCTGGAGTTGATCTGTCAATAGTCTCACAGCAATCAGGAGTAAATGAGTTTTCCGACATCTTATCTGAATCAAAGGATGTAGGCTTTCCGCCATCATCACTAGGAAAAGGTAGAAGTAACTAGTCAAAACTGAGGTAGCCTATGTCAACCAAGCCAAAGTCTCATTCAAGCCATTCGTGCATCCAAGACTGCGTATCTAGCAAGTGAACAGGCTTGGGCCGGGAATCGTGTAGGACTCAACCGGGGGCCAATCTAGAAACGTCCTTGTCAGCTAAAATGTGCTTCATGGATGCCAAAGGGAAAATTCTGGAAGACGTACAGATGTTGATCGTAACTCCAGGGTCGGTACCCTATAGATAATGAGTAGTTAGTAACCATACTCGAGAGTTGAGAAATTCAATATTTGGAAGCACAACTGCTAACCTTGTACGCGCCAGGCAAGCTGACAGTCGAGGGAGTCTTGGTGCCAGTGCCTCCAACAACGTTGATCTGAGCACATTCCATGTAGAACTGGGCACCCGGGTAGCTGCCAGCACCGTGCAGGGCAATCATTTCCGCGCGAAGGAGATACTGGCCAGGAGCGATACACTCTGGAATCTTGATGCTGTGGCGTCCCTGGCCGTTGATGACCTTTTCGGTTCCCCAAACGCCACCGCTGTAGCCGTCTTGCTGAATCTTGAACCAGCCATCTCCGACGCCCGAATCGGTAGTAGCGTCGCTGACCTTCTTCAGATACGCGATGGTCGGGCCCTTGTGACTGCTGTCCATGACATCCGCGGGCGCAGAGCCGGTAGAGCTGAGCATGTAACGCCAGATAGCGGTAACGTTCTGCCCGGCCTGAACGGTGATGACCTTGGAAGTAGGCGTCGTGGGGTTCGGGGCGCCGTTGCATGCGAGAGAGCTGGAGGTAACATCTTCGATAGGGCCATTGTAGGAGGGAACGCGAACGCCGTTGCCGACGCCCTGGTTCGTGCCGCCCACCTCGAGTGACGAGAAAATGGTGTGGGCACTGGCCATACTGGCCGTCAGAAGAGGAATAAGAACCTTCATTGCAGGTTTGGGTTAGGCGTTTCTTGGTCAGAAAATGGCTGGATGAAAGAATGAATATGTGCTCAAACGCGCTCGGCTTGATTAGGGCAGTGGTCAAGTAGAGATGAAGCAACGAACTCGAGGGGTATATATAGGAGTTCCTTCCCTTCATTTATCCATCAAATGCTGACATCGCGAGTGTTCTTTTCTTCTCGGAGGGTTTCCCGTTCAAGGCGAGTTGGACCAGCTGACAAGAAGCCAAGACTGCCATGCCGGCGACACACCGGCCGTGATGTTGCTACATTACGACAAATAGGCGAATCGTCTGGCTTTATGAGGTCGGGAGGATCATCAGCCAGGGCTCCGGGTGGATCGACGGAGGATGATGGTCCGGATTCCACAGCGATGTTGGTCGGAACCGGTACCGAGATTCCCGTTCGCCGTGACCCAAGGCTCTGGGCGTTCATTTAATTGAGGTACTCTAATTTGTGCTTCTCTAATCGTCCTTCTCTGCAAGTGACATGTCTTCACCTGGCTCCCGGCTCTGCGTCTCTTTATGCATGCGAAGATCGTCTGAGAGGACGTTGTCAACAGTCAACTGCCTAAATCAGCAGGGCATGCGCAGCGATTGATTACCCTATAGCATCGATATTTCCCACCCAGCCCGACGAATGAATGATACATGTGATAGGCAAATTTTGAGACGTCGACAGACTCTACATGCTCTTCTAAAATGCCGCGTTTGCGACGTGAATCAATAAATGACCTCTAACTTCACTTCAGACCGGCTCAGTCACCATTAAAACCAAAGCCCCCAGATTATCGGAACAATTTCTGCTCACTTATCCTATGAACTTATATTCCGGCAAGCACCCGCTCCTGCAATTAGCATTTTCAGTTGACTCTCGACATTAAACCCACATTAGATGTCGTGGTCACGAACTACCTATGCATATCTATCACACAATACCGGGCCTCTTCAGCCTTGCCATATGTGAACAGGGGCTCTCAAATGTTAAAATTGATTAAACACGTAATTACTTCTGCGGAAAAAGTGTTGTTCTTCGGTTTCCGCGACGGATGCGCATTGACGTTTCGGCATGCCGTGGTCTTCCATGTCTTTGAATAATGATCATGGTGAGTCGACAATTGAGAGAAAAGCAAGTTCACTGTCAGGATGAGGGTAAAGGTGGACGACAGGAAACACGAGCGTCGGGCGTCAAACCTATGGAGCTTCGAGAGGGCAGATAGCATGAGGAAGTCGTCTGTAGCCGTATTGAGAAGGAAAAGGAAAAAGCTACCTTGCCATGCACTATTTAATATTCCTGCAATTGCAGAGTCGATGCGACTTGTATTCATTGCACGCATAAGATCAATTTTACCCAGTAAAGGTATCCGCGCAGATCGGACTCAATTAAAGAACGATACAGTCACCCGAAGTCATAAGTTTTAGAGGTTGCTTAGGTCATCTTTGAGGCCCGGATTTGATCTTGCTGCCATGCAAAAACGATCGTCTGATGCTCACTAGGGCAAGCCACAAGGAAGAAAAAGCTAGATCGATCAACGTCACTAACTGGAATTTTTCGACTCTTCCTTCCCGGGTGGCTTGCTTAGTAGATCCACTAACTCGCTGGTTCCTGCACTAGACCACGCAAAGAGTCCTCGAAGCCCTGGCAGGGTGGGTATTTTGACTGGGTGATGCGGTGTTAGTACGATCGATGATTACTGTTTTTTTGACAGAAATTCTCGGCCGATCTCCCGGCATCTGTGCCCAGATGAATATGGACTTTTGCTAGCAAAACCAGTCCATGAGATGGCCGCGTTGGCAAATAGATTATTCAATGCATGGCGGCGAACGAGAACTTAACTATTATGTCACCCTTCATACGATGCCAACAGCTTTAGGTCACGTTACTTGCAAGCTTGGCACTAGACATGCGTTACGTAACACCACTTCCCCCTTTTCTTCAGATTGTCGTCTTGGCAAGCCAAGTGAGATTCCCAACTTCCTAACCGTGGATAGTGGAGCACCTCTTTATCCAAAGAAGCTTTACCAAGGCGTTGCATCTTGCAGCGCCTAGAAACAACTCTTCCGAGCCTCCGCATCGAGCCTCTTAAGAAGGGAAAATGGAGTCTTGATCATGACTACTTCCATCACCATCATCCCCTCGAGAAGTGACGAGGCAGAACTTCCCAGCTTCACATTGTTTGCACACGAAAAGAGCCACGAGTCCTGTGGATACCTGGCAGATTTGCTCCCCGCTTCTCCCCATAAAACCAGGTTCACTGAAGGTGAACCGTTGGACCGTAGAGCCTCACGCGAAAAGAGGAGGTCAATGCCCTCGCAGTCTACCAATCATCCTGCCTGAAACCAAGCAGCCGCTGCCAACGAGAATGGGCTCGCGGCAGTGCAAGCTTTAGTGCCGAGGAGAGTCACGGGAGGATTGTGTAGATCCGACAATCCAGTCCGCGGTGTGCGCGGGAGCTCTCACCGGGGGAAAAACCGAGCGGGCCTCCGGGACAAAGGTATCCACTGTTTGTGACGTGACGATCGAAATGAATCGGACCTTTAGCCAAACCGAGCGAGCTGAATTACAAAACACAGCGCGGTGTCTTCGACTGTCCGCTCCAAGTCCTTCCAAACTTCCAAGGCTATTCAACAACGGGTTAATTCAACGGTTGTGTCTCAGTTAAGACCGCTACAAAAAGCAAATTGCGGCCCGGTGAGAGGCGTGCCCTAGCTACGTACCTAGTATCAGGTAGGTAGGTAAAGATAGAAACCAACGAACACGAGATAGCACATGCATTTTTCTTTGTGTTCCCCAACAGCTTTAACTGGAGGGTGCCAAATGCACCTCTCGGCGGCATGCCTGCTTTAGTGGCGAGTCGAGTCCTCGAAGCGAGAAGAGAGATAGAGAGAGAGAGACTGCGAGAGGTCTGGCCTGGGCCGGCCGGACGAGTCTGCGCCCCTTTCCCGAACCCACTTGGGTCGGGTGGAGGGTCGCAGTTTGGCAACCAAGAATTTCGACAAAAACTCCTGATTTGTTTGCCATGCGAACCCACTTACCGCGTGGGAGGTTGCATTGTGCAGTCCCATCGAGAATTTCGATAAAACTCCTGGGTGTTTACCATTGCGCCAGTGGTCCATTTGCCTCCGTTTCTCTCTTCCCTTCCCCGTTGCGCGCGTAGTATCTTCTTTGCGAGTTTCCGGCCACCACATTCTTTTGATCAACAACTTTCCCACCACTTCCACTCTTTTAACTTAGACTTATTCGTAAAGTTTAAGATCAGCAAACATCGATCCAGTTGATTATCATAATCGTTATTCAACGTCCGCTCTTTATACCTAATTTACAGCTATTACTACCTCTGTAAATCTATATCAAGTCCATCATAATGGCCGTCCGAACCGCCGAAGTAGCCGCCCCTGCCGTCACCACCGCACCGACCGGCACTCCCGTGCCCGTCGCGACGGTGGCACTCACGACGACCTTCACGCCGCCCGCAGAATGTACCGAGAACCACTTGACCATGTTGGTCGGCGCCCTCGAGAAGATCTGGATTAACGAGCCCGTACCTCTACCCAACTCGACCCTCTCATCCTGCCACCCCACGCAATGGGTTAACGGCTACTCATCCGCCCTCTCCGCCTCCAGCTCCATCGCACCCTTCATGAGCCCTCTTGTTTGCCCGAGCGGATACAGCACAGAGAGCAGCACCTGGTCAAGCGGATACATTGCCTGCTGCGCTTCGTAAGTTCTCCTAGCCCTACGATCTGAGCCAAGAATAGCCAAGGTTATGTCCAAGATGCTAATTCTACCTGACAGCGGCTTCACCTTCGCTGCACCCGCCAAGACCGCCGACGCCGATCGCCCGGCTTACGGCGGCACATGTTACAGCAACTTCGACCTCAGCCAGACCGCTACCGTCACCGTCTACAACCCTGAGGAACTCTCCACCACAATCGCCTGGGTTGCGACAACAACGCCCGCACAAGCCTACGCTCACCCCATCGACGGTATTGCAGCAGACTACACACCGGGCGCCTCCACCTCAGGTTCATCCGGATCAACAAAAACTAACAGCGCCGGTGTGGCTGTCGAGACGGACGAGAACGCGGCGCCTAGATTGGGAGGTAACTCAAGGGCAGCATTCATTGTTGGGTTCTTGCTCGCGAGTGTGATGATGTGGTAGATTCCCCCCAACTTGCCATTTCAGGCTGCCGGTTGTGATCAGCGACTGCAACCATTATGTTACGACTTAAGATTCTGCTTCTTCAACTACCGGATTATCGAGGGAAAACGGCACTTCGCCAGGTCATGTCATTTTGCAATATTACGAAAGAATATTCTTTGGGTCTACCTTACCTCTCTAGTAGCCTTTTATACTACATAATTTTCAACCAAGCTCTGCGTAGCTTATCCTCGTCATCGCGTGGGATTATGGGCCAAAATCACCTGGCACCAGCTCGTATACATGCCCTGCCCGAGTTTCCTTTGTTTGAAGTGGCTGAACATGGAGGAATGTGTCAATGATTTGAAAAGTACGCTGAGTGCGACTAAGTAGGTTTCGACGAGTGCGGTGTCCCACATTCTGCTACGTCAATTCGACCAACTAGTGTTAAGGTACATGTACAGTTGCCTCAAGCCTTGAAGATATGGTAGTTCGGTATCCAGATTCAGAAACCTTCAATCTGGGTGAGGCATCGCCCGATTCAAAGCTCGTCTCTTACCGTATCACGATGGTCATCAAGCGCTTCTTTCAGATTCTCATCCGTCCCTGCCATCTTGTGCAAGTCCGCCCATCTTTCATCTTCGTCTTCATCGTCAATCAGAACCGCCAACCTGCTGACGAATTTGATGAGGGTTTTTTGGTCCGTGTTGAGCCAGGCTGCCTTCGTCAATAAATCAGCATTCGTTCTCGCAACGTCAACGAGACACTTAAGCTCTTTGGCGCTAGGAACATAGATAACTTACTTCGGCGTTTTGTATCACGGCCCGCCTGGACTCATACATCTTTTTTGTTTCTTGCGTCACCTTAAAAGTACCCCGAACGCCGAAGATCTTGCACAGCGCCATCCGAGCATGTTCCCGCTCCTCTTCTGTGTCCAACGATGCGTCGAGAAATGGCTTGAACTTAGATGTAACATAGGTAAAATTGGTCGCCTCGACGAAGTTGGCCCATGTCGCCTGCGTCTCGTTGAGGGGCTCCATCTCGTCATGAAACCTGTTGAAAGCTAGCTGCAATTTGTCGCCGGCGTCTTCCCACCCTGCTTCTTGCAATCGAATCTGGAAGTTTCAATGGTGGTAAGTCACAGGTACAAGACGAAATGTATATATACCTTCTATCTGAAGTTGCCGAGTTTCTTTTAGTCGGCATGTGGGATAGACTTACTTCAATCACATCGCGCGTACTAGCATACTTGTATAGGTCCATCCATTGGATGTCCTTCGCTTCTCGCCTCAATACAGTCCCATAAGCTGTATCAAAAACAGCCTTTGCTATTTCAATGTCGCTGAAGGAGTTTGAGAAGGCTGTGCCATTTTCATTGGACATTGAGGACTCGTTCCAAGGCATGTACATGTAAAAAGCCTGGTAAAGGTGGAACAGAATATTGAACAAAAGGGAGAAGACATGCTTGAAGACAAAGCCACTGGTCCCCATGGTGAAGTTGCGGAGATTCTGTACTAGGATCGAATTCTACCAAGCGACTTTCAATTGGAATAGAAAAGGTAAGGTCAAGAAGCTGATCGAAGGCAGGATTTCAGCGCAAACATGACGGACGTTGTAACACTTAAGTACTTGTTATGAGCAGTGTCAAGCAGAGCAAACCACCTCTTTCCTTCTTGGCTTCTGAGGTTTTGGGGCGTCAAATTGATAGAAACTAGCCCTATTCTCACGCCCACTCGAACCAACAAACGTCCACTTTTCTGCAGCATCCCAGCAAGGCAGCGCCTCTCATGAGGCACATCCGTCAGATACAGTTAGCTCAAGGCCCCCCTGCAATCATCACAGGAAAGATTCACGCCTTGTCATTGGCCCGCACACCTTCGTAGGATTTCCATCCTGGCCTCTTCAGGTACGTAACCGTTAGGAAGGCAAGCGGGATTGATGCGGTTTGTGGGCAGTAGGCTGGAAACGGGCATATGAAGCCTCTCTGGTCGGGCACATAAGTCGCATGCAAGGACGTACCTTAGGCTCAATGTGACACCTCATGGCTCAAGGAGGTTGTCTGCCATGGACCGCTACCTTGG